TATTAATCATGTTTTACAAAAAATGTAATTGTAGTAAGTCAAAAATTCACACAAAGAAACAAAAAAGCGGGTATCAAACGACAAAAACATCGAAAATACAAACAATTAAATAACAAATAAAAGCAAACTTAGCGGTGGACATTAAACTATTAACTGTGTTAGATTTTACTTTGTCTTTAAATTTAACAATAAAGTGTAGAAATAGCGGAAGAATAGGTACTCTCAGAAGAAAATAAGTATAAGTGAAGACTATTCTTAATAAGAAATTTTCGCACGATTTTTATGTTTACGAACTTGCTATTGATACGATCAACCACAGGGCAATGACATAATGCGTAATCTTACAAACCATGATCACGGTAGCCAATTCTGTTTCTGCAATGTAAAAGTGACAAGAAGACGAATAATCACCCCACAGTACTGCTTCGTAACTTAAATGTGATTGCAATAGAAAGTGATACACCACAATTAAGTGAATATCATCAATCGACCTTCTTAGACGATGCTGAACGAACAATCCAGTATTAAGTTTTGGTTTCAATTCACCAACATGCTCCGACCAATATAATTTCTCACCAATGACCACACCAAGTAGTTTAGCCGGGCTACCATTCGTAATAGCGTTATTACTCAAAATCGTCAAGTGTTAGGTCTTATAAAGGTTCAGTTTTACCTTTTTTTTATTTGCAAAATATTCAAGTTTTGATGGTTTATCCCAAAGCTTAACTCTTTGGCTCCATCTCAGAATGGTACACATTTGAAAGGATAAATGGAAAAATTAATAACCATGGAATAATTAAGAAAATAAATTTTTCCCAATTAGTGATATTACCTTTTCAATGTAATGGATAAGAATAAATTATTTCTGCATTTTTCAACCCCCAAGCTACATCAATATTAGGGAAGTAGGTTGGAGTCAGGAGCTTCAGATCTGAATGTTTCATCTAAAAATATCTACAACTGAATTTCTGAAACAAACTAATTTAACATCATACCTCTTTTATTTTTGCCTTGCCTTTATTTTGAATGAAGTGTGGTTTTTGCAAAACCAATAACTGATCTATCGAAAACATTGATTTCTGGAGCCATACAGTAAACACTTCGGTCATTAACGAACATGTCATATAAATGACCTTTAAAGCGGATGAACACTTTAGATATATATCGCTAATGAGAAGTGTAAATTTGGTTTTCATGTGCGTTTCATCCATTTATCCAGTGAATCAAGTGGAGCTACTTTATTTTCAATGATTCATCCTTAGTGGAGTCTCCATCCAGTCGTGCACAGTAAATACACGTTGAAGATTTGTTTACCCTTTGTTTTTGCCATTTTCACTTACTTAAAATTGTGTTGTTACATTTTCAAAATTTCGATTCCATGGAGAGGTGAGCATATGGATATTTTCTTTGAGTTATGTAGAAATAATGAGTGCTTCTGGAACAGCGCTGATAACTACCATAAAAAATAGCCTTGACGAAGCTTACAAATCTATATTAGGTAAGTTGAATTAACCGAATTTAATGAATAAACGTTATTCAAACCAAAATCAATCAAATGTAAAGTAATGATCTATATGGTCGTCATTTATTGTTTTGTTGATATTTTAAGTATTGCCACTCTATAAGATGCACTTAACGTCCGAAAACAAGTTTCTGTTGCAAGATAATGGAAGGTGACTTGTAATTTCAACTTGGCTGGTAATAACAATATTGCCTTTCTGAAAAAGGCTGTTGGCTCAGTGGTTTTGACGAATTGATGCGAAGTGGATTATGTATTTTTAACTATTTGTTTTCAAATAAAAGACAAATTTGTTCGCAAGAAAGGCAGTTGCCAAATGTAAATACATTATTCAAAAGTGGGTATATTAACATTCAAATAAAATGATTGTTTGCGTCGTCGAATCCAAGCTTTGTTAAACTTATTATTTTCACCCTAACTCGACAAATCGCTAGCGATATGCTTGCAAAGAATAAAAGTGTCAAATCGTTTTTAATGAAATATTCTTTTTTAGGGCAACGTTCCCGCTTTTTATCCCCATTTGAAACTTTTTTGCGTTCTTTAAACTTTTACGGTCGTTCCGTTCTATCGAAAGTATTCCCGCGTTCTTTGCAAAATACGGCTCTTTCGTTGGGTGGGGGATCGAATAAAGGCAGTGATTTATATCGGGCGGCGATAACTTACTTGAGACATCTGCGACGTCAATTTTTTCCAAGTGACAAATATTTCCCGCTGCTCTTTCTCTCGCCCCCTCGCCGTATACTTCGATCTTTATTAAAACTGTCGCCAAAATACGTTTCCGCCCCATAAGTTCCGCGTGAGTGATTTGCGAGTCAAAAGAAAAAATGGCGTGATAGATATATCGTTTTCATAAAAAATGGGTGTCGCGAGGTCTGTTTAAATCACATATATGAAAATTATAAACGAAAATATCGAGTTACTTGCAGGACATACAAAAAAGTGAGAAATATTTAGTAGAACGGAAGAAGGGACAATAAGAAGAAATAGTAATAACAATAATATTACCTAAATAAAATATAAAATTTAACAATGTAAGGAACAAAGTGCCGAACTTTAAGGTACTCGTTGAGGCGTTAATTAAAAAAAAAATAGTTGTCGCAAAGAGAGGGGAAAAGACGGAAAGCGGACAAGAACGTTCTTATATCTGAAATCCGACTGATCAAAATCAAAAATTCTATATTTATTAAAAAATAAAGGAGACAAATAAGAAAATAACTCCTTAAATGTCAGATTTTTATAAAGACCCTATCGCGTTTTAGTTTTAATTATTTTATAAATAAAACTTCATAAATGTTGAGCAGTTATATAGTTTATGAAACACCCCGTATTCCAAAAATAAATCTCAAGCACGAGTTTTGGACTTTGTATTCTTTGTTTATTAAAAACCTCGAGAAACACGGACTATACATTTGATTACAATAATTAAAATGTGACAATATCAATGAATCATAAGACATAACTTTGGCATTGAGGTAATGTTTATTCGGTATTCGGTATTCGGTTTTAAAAAAGAGGTTGGTAAATTCGAATTTTCTATTCAAAGTTGGATCCAAATTTGTTACGGAATGTTAGACATGTTTATTATTATAAGTGGAGGGTGCCATAATGGTAGATAGATTTTCTGGTTATTTTTCACTACAAACAGTTTTGGAGTATTTCAGCTGGGTGTCGTCAAAATAAATGTGATAATCGCAATGCTGTATAAACACTTTATAATGTTAATTGTATAAAGTTTATCCAACAAATGTCATAAAATACTTCCCTGTGGCACCCTTGACATAATACCGCATATGTCTGATTGTTTATTTCCAATATTCACATTTTGTGTACGACCTGCTAAATAATGTTTTGTAAATAATAGATTTTAGTAAACTTATGCGATTTTGTGAAAGATTAATCGGAATTTCTGACAAACAAGTCTGACGTAAGTCTCTGGTAAGGGACATTGCGAATACTAGACAACAACATATTAGGGTTGGGCTCAGTATGCCTCATACAAATGACGCTGGTTTTTTTCATGAATTTTTTTAGTATAATAATAAAAATTGGCAGTCTTAGGTTTTATGACTTGACAATTACGAATTAGAAATTTATTTTGACGTTGCTCCTAGAGGGCGCTAGTTTCATATCAATGGAATTATATTTTATCTGTCGAGTTCTGGTTCAAACATGCCGTAAATGTAAAAGAATTTTCAATTTTTCATAGAAAGACCGTTTACCTCTGTAGGTTTTTGACTTATTTGCATTTATATTATAAAAAAGAGCATATTAAAAAATCTCAAGATATTAAAAGACATTGGGAGTAATAAAAACCATTATTTAACAATAAAAATTTTGATATGAGTAATGAAAAAAAAAATAAAATCAAATTTTTGGATTTCGTAATATGTTGATGTCTAGTACTTCCAGTTTAGAGATTGCTCATTCTTTAAGAATTACCTTTATATCTCAATCTCACCGTCCTGAGTGTCCCTTACAGAAAGTCTGATTTGTTTTTCAGAAATTTAAAATATCGCCATTCAACATGACCGCTGACAGGTCGTTAATAAGTTTGGTTGCGCCATTTTTAGGGCAGTATTTTCTCAAAATAATTAATGGTCTGTAAAAAAGAGTTAAGGGTGTGGAAATCGCTGATACAGATCATTATGTATTTTGCTATACTCGAATCATTTTGCCAAGAAGACAATTTCGAAATCAAAACGTTGTAGAAATAGCCGCGTCGCTTTTATCATCTTTATTTAAATCAATTCTAATCACAATATCACTGTCGCAGTGAAAAAGGTTAAAATTTTTGTTTCAAGTAATTTTGATTGCCTCGATATAATTTCTGGACTTTAATTTGAATATTTTTCAAAATACCGGAGGCCAGGCTTTTGATAGACGCGCAGACGTAAACAAGAAAAGCGCTCTCTGAGACGTATTAGGTATTCAAATTTTTATCGCTTTTAGAGCCCTCCCATTAAGCTTTATTAAAACGTTTCCGATGGGGGTGTTTAAAACTGCTAATGCACTCGATATAATGGCCTCTTAAACGGCCCAAGCTCGCTCCACCCCGCTTCACGTCCCGTTAATTCCTCAAAACGGTTTTAGCTCCCTATTTACAAAAAAAGCATACCATTTTTCACTAATTTATCTTATATTATTTTCGGAAACACTAAAAGAGACAGGACTAATTTTTTTTGCAAAATAATGCTGCTTAGAGAGCGCACAAAAACGTTAACCAAAAATAACAATAACCCACAACCGACTGCCTCTTTGTGCACGTAAAAAACTTTCAAAAATCTCAAATAAATGGCAAAAACAATCGAAAAGTTCACCCTTAGGTATGTACTTACCAACGCATCCCGTATCTTCTGGTTAAAAATCGTAAAGCACACCAGAAAGGGATAGATAAAGAGAGAGAGAGAGAGAGTCTCTCGATAATAACGTCATCAGCGGGGAACCCGATTAATTTTTTTCTTTCGGATTTATTCCCATATAGTGTTCGGAAGGCCTTTCTGCGGGAGACATCGGAGTGTTTGCCGCGAGAGCGGGGCCCAACACCTGCTGGCACCCGGGCTGCTTCGCCTGCTGCGTGTGCCGCGAACTCCTAGTGGATCTCATCTACTTCTTCAAGGAGGGCCGCCTGTACTGCGGTCGTCACCACGCCGAGACGATCAAGCCGAGATGTTCCGCATGCGACGAGGTAAATTTTTGTGTGATAATTATCAATTATGGATTTATACCAACTTCGAGAGAGATGAATCCAGAATGCTTACATCCACCTCCCATCTCTTTAACTCATGTAGAAATCAAAAAAATCTTTTTAAACCACCTATTGTTTAAAAGAATATTTATTTTGACCACATATTGCTTTTAGAGCAACATTATTTTTAAAAAAAAATTTGTAAAACTCCAAACAACTTAAATTCACCTTGTAATCACGGCTGATTTTAAAGTGCTCACATAAAGTCGACTTTGTTTGCTACTCCAAAAGTTGTTTATAATTGAAAACGCTCCTTCTCGCTCCGCATTAGTACTGGATAGACAGAGTGCAAACTCAACTATCAAAGATATGTTTTTGAACCCCAGTTGCTTTTTTGAACAATTATCAAAAACTTCAAACCATCGGACACAAACATTGATATCATTAGCTTTCCAATCTGCGAACAATTCGTTGGTTACAAATTCCTTTATTAAAGATATTTCATCATCTTCATTTATTAATGCTTCATTATACAATAAAGTAGTTTTTATTGCGGGTTGAATTTCTGAGTAATGTGGTTTGTTTTCAAGTAATATGTGTCCAACATTTGAGAAGATTGAATTTCCTATTGTGAGAGGCATTCCTCTGTGCTTCATTCAGTCATTATCCACTCCTCGTTTCTTCTAGCTTTTATTTTGCACTTAAGCTTTTAGACATTCTACTGCTGATATTTCCTTAACTTGTATAAATAAACTTGTTTCGTGGAAAATTGCGGCAGCATTATGCACAAATAAAAGCCGGAATTCTGTTTCCGCATTGTTGCAAAAGTTTTTAATTATTATGGGGCATTTCGGTATTAACAAAAAGCACGATTTAAGAGCGGGAAACAGTTGGGATATAAAATGTAACTATATTGAGAAATTCGGGACAATCCAGGACTAGCAGATTTTCCAAGACGTTGTCGGAAAAACCTGAACCTGTCCCGGCTAATTCTGGACGGTTGGTCAGCCTAATTTATAAATTGCCATGTATCAACGGAGCACGCAAAAAATCCTGCAACCAAAAATTATCAAAACCCAAGGTTCCACTCCAATGCTGAAAATTTACTACCGAAAACTAGTATAGGCAGTAGTAGTTTAATGATAATTTATTAAAAATAAATGTAAGTCTAAATGTACTACCACTGAAAAAGCAATAAATGAAAAAGGGTACGAAATGCATTCTATACAAAAAACATTACCAATAGATACAAAAATAAACAATCAGAGCATTTATAATTATTGTGTTGTTATAAAATAATTCTTCAGCACTGTAAAATAATTTTTCAGTTGTTGCTAATTCATTGAATTAGACCTTTGATTTGGATGCTATTGTATGGTAAGTCGGTTTGATCTCACGTTATAATTACGGTTTTCTGTTGAAGGAGATAAAAAGTAAGATGACTTTTGTAATTTGGAGGGCTACGTACATTCGATCTTCGATATTTTTTGTTATATTGGTACACATGGTACAGAATAAAATTTTGTGTAAAACATGGAATACAGTGCTGAAAATTTGAGCAAAAAATTGTTTATAAGAGGTACAATATGTTCCAATATGGCCGAGAAGATGCCGATGACGAACCTCGCTCTGGACGCCCCAGCACGTCCATAACTGATGAAAGCTTTGAAGTGATACAAATGGTCTTGAAAAATCATCGAATCACTAGTAGATTGGCTGACGACGTCAGCATCTCTATTGCCTCATGCCATGCAATTTTTTACGAAGTTTTGAGCATGAAACGTGTAGCAGAAAAAAGTCTTAACTATTGACGAAACCAAAGCCCAGTCGTACCAATGGAAGAATCCAAAATCGCCAAAACCGAAAAAAGCACGTCAAATTCGATGAAATGTCAAGGTTTTGGTTACTGTTTTCTTTGATTATCGTGGCGTAGTAGCAAGAGTTCTTACAACAAGGTCGTACAACCAATAGAGCAAGTACATAATCTGTCCGGAATTGTAGGAAAACAATTCATAGATTTTGCATCACGATCTTATCGTGCTGCTCACTCATCGTTGCTTGTGTCTAACTTTTAGGCCAAAAACAAAACCACAATCCTTCCTCAGTCACCATATTCACCGGATATGGCTCCCTGCGACTTTTTCCTGTTCTCAAAACTCAAGAAACCCATGAAAGAAAGGAGGTTTGGAACGATTGAGAAGATAAAGAAAAAATCGCTGAAAGAACTCAAGGCTATATTACAAAGTGGCACAAGTATCCTGGGGGGGAGGGGTTACTTTGAAGAAGACAACATTTCACAATCAACAATCACTTTACTTTTTGAACACACCTTGTATATACATGGCAAAGGCATTATTTTGCGTGCCAGAAGGAATCCTCTATAATATGTTCGAACATGAGCTCCACAAGAAACTTGAATAACTCTTTTTTGAAGTTTGAAGATTTTCAAACCCGATATGATGAACATATGAAAAAGACTGTAATCTAGGCCAAATAGTTATACTAGTCTTTGTTTACAAGCATTTTGTACGCTTATTTAAAATGGCACTCTATTCATTAAAAAGTGATGTTATTTGATATATTGAACCCTGATACTACACTAATATCTGAATTCTAAGCAACTGTCGATTATACATTTTGAAATACCCCTGATTCCATAAGTGTCCAATTTTGTGGATATGAGAGATGCCTTGAACAGGCCGCAAAATGTGAAAACATTATATATACCCCAGCAACAGACCTTATTGGATATACTGCTCCGTTTCTTTCGCTTAAGGCTTAGAACATAGTGGCGCGACGAGGATAGCGGCGAGCAAGCAGCGCGACGTCCCGTCCAAAACAAACCTGTGGAGACAGGTGCGTGTGCACATAGTAGAGCGATATGTTTGAGCGATTAAATCGAGCGACGAGATTGATTCAAATAATTTTGTTTTCATCACTCTGTCGCATTGTAGACAAACCATGGATTGTCAAAAACTAAGAGATTTAGTCTTTATGAGAGAGAGATTATGGGATCAAAAAGATAAAAATCGCCATAATTGGTACATTTTAGATAAAATATGGGATGAAGTGGCAAAGGAAATGCAAACGACACGTAAGTATCTTTTATTTAACACTTACAAACTTTTCAATTCAAGTAATTTTTGAAAGTCTCTCTAATATCAGACTCCTATTATTTGTGCGTCGAGCTCCTATATTAGATAATGTAGGATCATTTTGATGTTTATTGATTAGCTGAGTATCAATTCTTTCAAGATCTAAAATTGTATTATGTAATACGCACATACATTTAACAATTAAATCGGCAAATTCTGGATGCGTCTTGATAGGTTTCCATAAAAGTCGCCATTTAGCATTTAAAATTCCGAATGCGCATTCTACCGTTCTTCGTGCTCGTGAAAGTCTCATATTGAAATATTCCTTTTCTGGAACAAGCTGTTGACGACTGTAGGGTTTTAAAAGATGTCTCAGTAAGGGATAGTCGTCGCCTACAAAAACAAATGGCATCTTAATTTGTGTATTGGGAAGTGGTTTGTCATCTGGAATATTCAATCTTCTTGCGTAAAACACAGCAGATGATCCCTTCTACGTCAATTATCACAAATTTGTAATTGGCGCAACAATTCCTTGTAGAACGATAGAAAAATATTGTTTGTAGTTATAAAACATTGTACCGCTATGTGATGGACATTTAATCCGTATATGTTTCCCATCAATACTTCCGATACAATCGGGAAAGTTCCATTTTTCATAATATTCTTTTGCTATGTTCAAAAAAATAGTTTGGTCTGGAATACGCATATGAATTGGCTGTAGCGTTTGCCATAGAACGGTTATTGTTTTCCTTATTATTTTTGCCACAGTGGAACAACGTAAACAAAAGTAAATGACAAGGACTTAAATGACGATCCAGTGGCTAGAAACCTAGAAAAAAAAGTTATTATAGTTACAGGATGACCGATTGAAATAGAAACATTCCCATATAATGTTTGTTTCTTCCTATATTCTTCCACATGTTGTGAAAACAAAATATGTCATGAAAACTCCTACGATTGTTCAAAAAGTTACTATTTTTTGCACTGTGCAGAAACTCACAAATCGCAGTTTTACGTTGTATGCTGTATAAAAGTTTTTTTCACCTTTTAGGCGACCGAGTAAGGAATAAGTGGAAAAACAATCGTCATACTTTTCGTCGAGAATTGCAAAAAAATCCTCGCCGATCTGGCGATCCCGGAGGGAAGAAACTGAAATCTTTTGTTTTTACGTGATCAGTTTACTGTACGCCCTTCCACCGGCAATTGGTCCCAAAGTCAAGATGAATATGATGATGAGGCATCCCAACCAGAGCAACCATCAGAAGATATCGAGAACATATCAGTCACGTGAGGAGCATTTTCTCCCAGCACATCCCATGATCGTCGAAAATCTCGAAGTTGTTCTGTGACGTCATTTGCAGATGATCGGTCTCGTGATCGACCAAATAAAAGACAAATTAATGACCATTTCGTGCAACAGGAAAAAAGGAAATTGACAAAATTCGAGGAAATTAACGATGAAGACGTAGCCTTTTTCAATAATTTATTGCCGCATGTCAAAAAACTTTCCCCGAGAAATAAAATGTTGCTACGGATGCAAATTCAATTATTAGTTTTTGATTTTGTTTATTCAGAAGATATTCGGACACCAAATGTACCAGTTCCTACACCAAATACATCGGGTAATTCTACACCAAAGCAACCAGAGCTAGCATTATCGCAAAGACAAGCAGATTCATCATATTGTGATTTATCTGGAAACATGACTTGTACTTAGTATTATGATAGTTTTGGACGTCTCTAGAATAACCGTTTCATTTATTTTGTATTTAGTTTTGTACACAAGAATTAGATCTCAGTTGAGAATAAATATCTTATTTATACTTTGTCTAAGTAATTAAATTTGGACCTAACCTCAGTGTCATTATTAAACGCTCGGCGGGTCCTATAGGAGTGAGATTGAAATTGATCCAGTTCTCTATTAACTGATCATTGATCAGGCTTAAAATATAATCAAAGTGGCTACTTCCATTCTGACATATCCGTAAAATCTTGTGAGGTGTTGCCGCAACTTTTCGTAAAGAGTATGAAATTCTCCACACTCTTCGATTTTAAAAAATTTCGTAACTTGTTCTTTGTTGATTACGAAGATACCAAATTTTAGCGGCACTACTGTCTAGACGTTTTATGGCTGATACCATTTTAACTTCACAATAAACAAATTAAAAGAATATATTATGCAGGTATTCGGCTATTCCTCGCCGCTCTACTATGTTTCGGCACCTCGAGGCTTGCTCCACGCGATGTCGCGCTGCACTATGTTCTTAGCCTGAACATTTTTTTTTCTTTTCAACAACTACTACTTACTTCTATTTTGCCCCCTCTTTTGTTTCAGATTATCTTGGCCGACGAGTGCACAGAGGCGGAGGGCAGGGCGTGGCACATGAAACATTTCGCTTGTTCCGAATGCGAACGTCAACTGGGGGGTCAGCGGTACATCATGAGGGACGGAAGGCCCTACTGCCTGCACTGCTTCGACGCCATGTTCGCCGAATATTGCGACTCGTGTGGCGAACCCATAGGCGTCGATCAGGGCCAGATGAGCCACGAGGGTCAACATTGGCACGCCACAGAGACCTGTTTTTGTTGCCACACGTGCCGTACGTCTCTGCTAGGTCGACCGTTTTTGCCGCGCCGTGGTGCCATCTATTGTTCGATAGCTTGCAGCAAAGGGGAACCGCCCACGCCGTCCGACAGTTCAGGACCGGGCACCAGGTAATTATTTCGAGTAATTTGTTTTGGCTCCTGCGAAGGAGATCCGACGAGTCGATGGCCCATATTTAAAACTTATTAATTCAGGGTTGTTCGTGTTTTTCGTGACAAACAATTGATACCATTTTTGAATTTTAAAAATTTAAAATTAAAAAGTTTTTCTTAACCTTTACGACGTTGCAAAATATGAAAAAACTTTGAGAAACAGATGTTTTGCTTTAAAACTGAAAAAAATAAATAAAAAGAAAGCTCATTTTTTTGAAAAATATCAATTAGGTAACCCTTGGGACGCCGTTGGAATTAATTTTTAGTTTTAGATTTAATTTTTGTACTTGGGTGTTATTTTTCTGCTTTTTCAAACGAAGTAGTGCTAAAGTTGTTCTGTGACATGAAATTTCGCGCCTATAGGAAACCTTTCAACGTTGCTACGTGTATTATGCCCTAATGTCTTAAATTTACATTTTCCTATTTACCGTCGTCAATCAATGAGGTTTGACGTCCCAATGTGGTATTATTTATTCTGGCGTTAACGCCTTTAGTTTCGTGATTTTTGTAATCTCTAACAAACGGTGGATTTAGACTCATTAAATAAAACCTGTCAGTGGTTTCATTCTGTTGATATCAACTAGAAACATTTGCATCCCCACCCGTATTGGAAATCGCAGTCTATCCGTACAAAAGTGGGGGAGATAAACAATTCCGATTTGGGAGCACAATTACACCTACGTTTACATCAGCCGCGTGTGTTCAGGCCTCTTTATTAACGACTTTGCTGGTCTCCTATATTTCGCGTCACTCGATTTTAATCTTCCAGAGCTCCCAGACCGCTGAAACCGCGTCTGACTGCCCACCCCCCTTCTCCTAGCGAAACGAGCACGCCACCTGGATCGCCCGCTTTACGCAGAGCGCACCCTCCGCGATCCCCGACTACCTCTTCGCCTTCTACTCCACCTCCCTGCAGTCAATACGTCCTGAGCAACCCTCTCACTTGCCGATCTCCCCCGATTCGATCCCCAAAAATGGGCAGGCGGGCCCTGCAGAGGTCCCCCAAACCAGGGGGATCACTAGCCAGTACACCCACCCCTTCAGATAACGGGTGTCCGGGCGAATCGTTACCCCAATCACAGAACCAGAGCCCTAGCGAAGAAAGGACCGCAATGCCCCCGACGGAGAGGGGATTGGACAGGGTATTGTTGGAACGCAACCTCGATAGGTTGTTGAGCGAGAGGGGAGCGAGTCACCATTCTCCCGACTTGGAGAAATTGCTCAGCGCGAGGGACAGGAGCAGAGAACCTCTACATCTGGCCGATCTAAGTCTTGACGATTGGACGGGGGGGAATTGGAGTAAGAAGGGGTCGCAAAACGCTGGGGACGGCACACCGAAGGCCGACGGCAATTCTTTGGAGCTGCAGGCGGCGTCTTCCTCGATGCCGGAACTTGTGGTAAGTACCCGACGTGTATTTTGATTTTAACTTTAATTAATTTCATATAAAACTAGCTCAACTCTCATTGAGAGCGATTTTACATGAGGTAATTGATAACTGGTCTTTTGGCGAAATGCTTTCTGGATCAATTTAATATTACTTATAACTCTCATAACCCTGAATGATAAAATAAACCTCACTGAAGTTTAGTTGACTTGTTTTCATAAGGTTCCCGGATCGAGCGAAAGCACGAGCGGCGGTCTGACTACTCCCGGCTCTCCAAGTAAAAAATCGCGAGGCTTACTCAGCGTTCGCTTCCAAGGGGATAATCAAGGGTTCGAAGCAGATGCGGCAGACAACGCCAGCGTCGAAGCATCTAAGAAATTCCCACGAAGCAAGAGCTACTCCGGCGGTCGGTCCAGACACTGCGACAGCCTCGAGCGAAGAGGCAGGTCTTCCCGAAAAACCACTTCTGATTCACAGACACCTTCCAGGTTAGATATCTGTCATTCTATTTTCCTTGTCAATTCTTTTCTTTTGTGGCCCTTAAACAATATTGATTTCCCTTTCCAGCAGTCGACATCCGGAACGCGACGATGATAGCGATAGCTACTGTTCCACTTGTTCTTCCTCGTCTTCCAGTGATGATTTGGACTACCAGCTACCTCCAAGACGAGCCTACGGCGGCGTGAGGATTTCGTACGTTCCGAATGACGCGCTGGCCATTGCGAGGCGCAGACAGGCGGCTAATCAAAAATCCCCGTGCAAAACTAGGCCATTGGATGCTGGAGACAAAAACTGCATCATATCATGATGACGTTTCGCGTCACATTTCGTCTATCCTTGTCCACGGAAACTAACCTTAAGTTTCGCCAAAATGAAGTGTCATTAGCAACATCTAGCGTTTTAAGTGATGAACTCGCAGGCACAGAATTGACAGTTACTTCGAGTTCTTAAAGCCATCTTGAAAAAGAAGAATGTCGCAGACGAAGATGAATAGTGCAAAGACCTAAAGACCTAATGAGAATAAACCATTTTTCACATGGTAATCATATTCCACCTAATTCTTATGCGATGGGCTGAGGACCGAATTCTACGTTCTCTGTTCTATTTGTGAGGCCCTTTATACACTTACTACCCATTGTAAAATGTTTGCCTGCCGTTTAGATTGTAGTGATTTGTAGTATAATTATTTATTTTGATAATATATAATAATGTTTGTTTTGTATAATTTTTTTGTATATTGTATATAACCGTTTTAATAAACATATTCCAAAGCGAGCGATTTTCTTTGAAATAATAAAATTTCTAGACGAAAAGTGTTTTTATTTTTTCCGAAGATTGTCATGCAAGGATTTCCTCTTCTTTTTCTTGGGTATTTCATCTTCGTCAATTACCGTTTCCATATTCCTAAACATTTCCTCATATTCTTCGTCAACATTCTCGTCCTGCTTTTGTTTTTCTTCGCCTTCATCCTTAATGATTGGTTTTAGGAATAATTTCGTCAAATTTTGTTTCATATAACACTGCAAAATTACAAAATATCAGGGTAAAGGGTCAAAAAATGGAAATCAAATATTAACCTTATATACTAGTTCTTTAGTATCTATATTGTGCACTCTCAAATACCTATCCAAGCTAGTGCTAGCGATATATGGTTCCACAGGATCACAGATGATGCTAGTGACGCTACCTGTATAATTAGTGAAAGTTTTCAGGCATTTGGCAGTTTTTAAATCGAGCATCTGCATGTAACCTTTGGTGGTACCCACAAAACATTGTCTAAAACCAAATTATAAATCAGTACACAAGAGGTGGGGTGCTGGTTTTTTTTTAACCTTTCCCTGAACGCAGGGGAGATGGTTGTATAACTAGCCTGTTTTTCTAAAAACTTGGAAATGGGTTTACGTTGGGCCCGGTCATCATAAAGCAATACATAACCCTCTTTGGTTGCGCAAGCGGCTAAATTTGGTACATCTGGAAAGAAAATTATGCTTCTCACCGAAGTGGGAATCGGTAATTGTAACTCGTCATGACCCAACTAAAAAAAAAAAAAATGCTTTTCACCAACTCCTTGACCTCTGCTTTGGTAAACCTACCGATTTTGCTTTGAAAACACACTGCTTTGTTTCCAAATTAAAGAGTTTGAAGTTGTTGAACTCTCCCCCAATTCCAACGATATTGTCCCGATTATCATTACAAATTAGTGACTCCAGGGTGCCCTTTTCATCCAAGTTTACCGAAAAATAATCTCTCTTTTTGCCTTTAGACACGTGAATAATCCCATTCCGTTTGGCGCTTATTATAGCTTTTTTAACACATCCCGCACCAATAATGCCACCATCTCCTTCTAAATCAGTCAGGGATTTGATAAACTCATTTTGTTGTGTGTTATAAACACCTACATGACCACTTTGATATCCCAAAATAATTTCGTCTTCGTTTCTGCCCTTCACCATCGCCGTAACTTCTGTCGTTTCACCATTTCTCGCGATATTGACATCGTTGGGTTTATCTCCTGTGTCTAAAAAAATTAGATACAAGTGTAAAGATCATACGAAAGAAAAATCTTACACAACAACAGCCCCCGAGCAGTGCCCACGTAAAACCTATTTCTTGTTAAGTCCATTTCATTTACCGAATTCGTTAAGTGAACATGAGTTTAAGCAACTGAATCCCGTGCGAACCTAATTTCTTGGTTATGGTTACAAAAAAACCAAGGTTGGTTCGTCTGATCTTCCTCCACTGAGATGTCCATTATATTTCTCTCAAAATCCTCAAAATAACTAACAAAAACCATTTTTCTAAGTTTAAAGGTAAAACGAGATATCCCTAAGTAGCTGAATAGTTTTCAAGAATTCTGCGGTGTTTCTCAGGACAGAATTCCTTAATTAAACCGTCATGTGAGCATTGCACATGGCGGTTTAATCTCCGTTCGCTCCAGACAGAATCCCTTGTAATCGTTCCCAAACTTTTAGAATCGATTTCCACTTAGTGGATTTAGTGTTTAGTCAGTTTTTTAAAGGTGTAATCGTTGTCTATCCTCCTGTTTTTTCCTCTTCACGCCGGTGTGGTGGCGGGATTGGCCAGGATGGTCTGCCTGGTAACCAGGGGAGGCCGTTTTTTGGTTATCGGTCAAAGTGTTAAATTGGAAACTGAGAACAATTGTTGGTAATAGCTTTTTGTTAACTATTGGTTTTTTACCAAAAGAAAAAATTCCTCGATGTACGTCGGTAATGGAAAAATGACCAGAGTAACTTTGCCCAATTGTGTTAAGAAGCAAACTGTTCTGCGGTGAAAATAAAAAACTTTCTAACCTTACACAGTTCTAGTAAACAATAATATTTTTATAGGTATATTACAAAATTTGCTATGGACGCGCAAACTAGCGCTTATAGAAAAATGCTGGCCTGCACCGTATCGAGCATTCTGGTAGAAAAAGGATTCGATACGGTTGAGAAAGACGCTCTCGGATCGCTCACGGAAATGATCCAGGCGTTTCTTTCGGAAATCGGTTTTCTCAGTAAGAATTATTGCGAGCTCTCTGGCCGAACAGAGCCTCTTATTGCCGACGTCATTTTGGGATTTACAGAAATGGGTAAGCTAAACTGTACTACCCTATTGTAATAAGTTTTGTTGCATCTATAATTTCAGGTTTTGAGTTCAGTTCTCTAGAAAACTACATCAAGTCTAGCAAGCACTCGGTGCTACCCTCGTTGCAAGCCCAACAGGCTCAGAAACAACTGAGTATGCTTTCAGCTGGCAAGAAACATGATTTGCCCTCGTACATCCCCCAACATTTCCCCTCATTTCCAGATCCTCACGCTTATGTTCGGACACCTGTAAGTATAACAGCAATAGACCCCAATCACGACTAATTTAAAATGAATTTTTAAGACTCACAAGCAACCCATTATTGATTATGAGTCGGTGCGTGAGAAAGCCGCTGTCCAGAAAAAAGACGTGGAAAGGGCATTAACAAAATTTCTGGCCAAAACTAGTCCCACTCATAGTTTATTTGATACAGATGAGTCAAACATATTTTTATGTATGTTTAGATGTTTTATAGCCGCTTCCTATGTTACTAAGAGTAATTTTTATATTGCAGTGATTGCATCAAAACCGCCTTACCCTCCTTATCTTAGCGCGCTTTTACCACAGGACCAAATTTTTGATGCCGAAGACCTAGAGTATGATCCAAAGGCACAAATACAGAGGCAGCAGAAGGAGCATGAGGAAGCAAAGAACATTAGTGTCAAAGAAGAACAGGAAGAGTCTCGAGAGAACGAATCGCAAAACGATTCCATTAAAAGTGAAGAAAACACATCAGGAAGTAATTTTATAGATAATCCCTATTTAGCAGCAACCAAGTTACCTGTTAAGGACCACATCGATGTTTGTTGATTCCAGGCGGACTATTTTTATTTATTTACAAGTGTTAATTATGAAAAATAAAATGTTTTTTTATTTATTCAGTTCAATAATTATTACCTTGATAAGGACCATAGAATAAGAGAGAACGAGTTTTTTGAGGACTTTATGCTTGAGGTTTTTCGGTACAACAGCGAAGGAGTGAAAACTACCTGAGTATTGTTGTGCAAATCTTTAGGCATCGGCCCTAATTTTAATTGTTTTCTGTTATTTGGTGAGTCCATTTAACGCATCCAGTTATATATCAGTTTCTGTGGCTGGTAGTTTCCTCCTCTTGGCCCTCTAACCTTAACCATGGGGGACTCTTCGGGGGGCGAGGGCCCCCGACGGTTAATGCTGCACAAGAAAATGACAGTTTATCCAATGATTCTCAAAATCGTCCGTTGAACGCCATTATTTGTAACATTTTGCCACCGGATTGCCAAAAAACTGCTGAAGATATTTCTAGGCTCCAGTATTTTGATGTGCCCTCAGGTGAAGAGTTGTCAAAGTTATCGGCAGAGATCCAGATTATCAAGAATCAGTTCGAGCAAGACGCTGAAATCCTGCGGGAAGTTGCCAAAATCTCCGCAAACATAAGAAGGACAGTAAATCGGAAAACAAAATATGAAATCACCAATCAGGGGCCTTTTATGGTGATTCTGGAGGGGATTACAAGTAAGGTGGGGACTCTTCATCCTATGAACTTTGGGAAGTTACTTCAAGCGCAGAAAGTTCAAGGTATATTGAAAATTTCTAGAAAAGGAGCTAATAAAATCGGTTTGGAGTTTAACACCTCTGAGTCTGCAAATAAATTTTTATCTAATGAAACATATTCGACAGCTGGTGGGTATAATAAGTATATACCTCAAAGACTAGTCACTTGCCGAGGGTTGGTGAGGGACATTGGTGACTTAATTGATGAGGATGATTTTTACTCTGAGGCAGAAGCCAAGGTTAACATCGGAAGATCGCTAAAGCGCGTTAAGATTGTTAATGTTCGCAGACTAACTAAAAGGGTCAAATGCCCAGGTGTTCTGCCTGGCACTTTTGGTTTCAAGACAGTTCCATCTAATGATTATATAATAACATTTGAGGGTAAAACTCTTCCAGAATCAATCTGTATCTATAAAAATGAGTGTTCAATCGAAAAATATGTTAGTCCTGTTGTCTTATGTATGAATTGTTGCAGGTTTGGTCATTGGAAAAACCAATGCAAAAGCAAGGGTAGATGTAGTTTCTGCGCTGGAGATCATCCAGTATTTCATTGTGAACTGAAAGAACAGTTTTATAAGAAGAAACCATGCCCGACAGACCACTTAAATCATGAAGGTAAATGCAGCCTGGGTAATTGCGAAATATCTCCAAAGCCAACTTGCATCCACTGTAAAGGCTCTCATCAGGCCACTGATAGATCATGTCCGGAAATGGACAGACAGAAGAAAATCAATGAGGCTATGGCATAGTACAACCTATCCTTCTTTGAAGCGGCCAAACTCTTTCCAAGAGGCCCCAAATCAAGTGAGTTTAATCGCTCTAATGAAAATTTCCCTCCTATTCATAACACGGTTGCCCCCGTCTCTCAGCCTTCCCCTAGATCTGCTTCTAAAACTTATTCTGTCATAGCAAAAAAGCGTAAGTCCCCCCAAATAGAATCAGGGTATGATAGGGACGCCTACAGGGATTGTCTCGTGCCGCCTTTGACTAGGCAGAAGTTGAATCACACTAGCAAAAGTCAATCTTCTCCCTCATATTTAAATGACTTATCGTCAGAGTCCGAGATGGACACTGCTTCTCCAGGGGTTTCTTCCTCTGGTGAATTTTGGTATCGGTTTGAAAATTTAAAGAAAAAAGTTTTGTCCAATATACCCAGTAAAAGTGCTTACCATGAAATTGAGAGTCTTTTTGACTCCCTACCTCCTCCCGGAGGATGCAGGTTTTAATTTATTAATGTTCCCAGATCGACAGTCAAATCTTTCTGTTAAAATTAGTAATTTCTCAATTATTCACTGGAACACTTGCGGTATTAGAAGTAATCGTGATAGTATTATTAGACTTATTCGTGACTTTGGTCCGGATATAGTCATGATTAATGAATTCTTTTTTACTCCCACATATCAAGTTTTCCTTGTCTGGTTTCTCCTTTGTCAGGGACGATCGTATGGATGGGTATGGAGGGATTATTGTTTTTTTACGCTCCAACATCGGGTATAATGTTTTAGATGTGTCAGATATCCCCACGCCGGATAGATGTCAGGTTATAGTGTTGGAGATGGACAGCCTTTTTCTAGTGTCGACGTATAATCCTCCTGACCTTCCTATGTCTCGTTTGTTCTTAGATACTTTGGTTGATAGACTTAGGTCAAAACCCGTTTTCTTTGCTGGTGATGTAAATTCTCATAATGAAGAGTGGGGCTCTACAATTAAAAGTTATGTTGGTCTGGCTAACGGCTCTTTACTATCGGACTTTATTAGTGATAACAACTTCATTCTTAATGACGGCTCTGCCACCCGATTTACAGGGAATGACTCCCGTTCTGTCCCCGATTTGGTATTTTGTTCACACGAATTGGCTCATGTTGCCGATTTCCGGGTGTTATTCGACAGAGGGTTTAGCGATCATTTCCCGATACTGTGTCATATTCGGTGTAAACCGGACAGTTTACATCATCCTGCTCAAGTGTATCTCCTGAAGCACAATGTTTCTAAGGCAGAGTGGGACAAATTCTCTGAATTGATTAGTATTGGTTTAAGCAACCCCCTTATTATGTCATACGACCAGTTCGACAAGGTAGTCATGGACGCGGCTGATGCTTCCATACCCCTTCATAAGAGCGGGCGTAAATGTGGACTTCCTTGGTGGGATCACGAGTGCTCGTTAATGATCGCTAAAAAGAGAGAGGCTTTTAGAAATTATAAAATTTCCCCTACTCTAGAGAATTATGTTAATGTAAAAAGAACTCGGGCCAGCTGTAGAAAATTTCTTAGGGAAAAGAAAAGGGCGGGATTTAAAAAATTTTGCCAGAGTTTATGTCCCAATGAGAGTGCTAGGTATGTATGGAAATGTGTGAAAAGATTTTCAAAGGCTATTAACCGGGCTAATTGTCACCTCCCACTTAACTTTTCAGTACTGGCGGAATTGTTGGACTCCTTAGTGGGTCATGCCGATGGTGTCGCTGAGGAGACAAGTTTAGAGGGGGATAACAACACTGCAGTTTCTCCCTTGTTTACTCTTGATGAGTTTATCGCTGTAGTTAGAAGTCGTAAAAACACATGCCCCAGCTTGGATAGAGTTTCTTTTGAGTTAATAAAGCATCTACCAATAGAGGGAGCCGTGTTCTTAGTGAATTTTTACAACAAATTATTGAGAAATGAGTGCAGTATACCTGATAGTTGGAAGACGCAGCTGGTTGTTCCAATATTAAAGCCGTTTAGGGATCCTAATCTTCTTAGTTCTTATAGGCCGATTAATTTGTCATCTACATTCGGTAAAGTGCTGGAGTCAATATTAAAGTGCCGAGTAGAGTGGTTTCTTGAACATCACAGATTGCTATCAGAATCTCAAACCGGCTTTAGGCGCGGTAAGTCCGTTATGGATAATGTTTCCATCATAACAAGTCATATTTTGTGTGCTCAGAGCAAAAGTGTTTCTACTGTTATGGTTGCATTGGATATTGTGGGTGCTTATAATAATGTTAACATCCCCATGCTAATAAAAGAGATGGATAAGCAGGGTATACCTAGGGATGCTATAGGGTTAATCAATCGACTTCTCCTCAACAGGAACCTATTTGTTAAGGATGCTGTTGGGCACCTTTTGGTCGGACCTAGATCAACCAGTAAGGGGGTCCCTCAGGGATCTCCCTTAGCGCCTCTTTTATTCAATATATACGTAAATTCAATTAAGTTAGTAATTCCTCATAGGGTTTCTATTTTCCAGTATGCGGATGATATTGTTCTTCTATGTAGCGATGTCAATGTCCTCTTTGCTATAGGCTTGATGAATAAAGCCTTGGTGGCAGTGGCTGATTGGATGCATAGGTTTAACTTGCAGCTTAGTCCGCAAAAGTCGTCTGCTATTTTATTCTCTAGATCTGTTTTGGTTGGACTTCCCGACTTGGTAATTAATAGTGTAAATATTCCCTGGAAAAATGAAATTAGGTACCTGGGAGTTACATTTGATGCTAAGCTTACGTGGGTTCCACAAGTTGGCAGAATGATTCACAAGGCAGCTAGTGGAATTAATATTATGAGATTTCTATCCAGGACATGGTGGGGAGCCCATCCGTCTACTCTTCTGATATTTTATAAAGCTTTTGTGCGTTCCCATCTCGATTATGGTTCTATGGTACTGGGGTGCTGTGGGAAAAAAACCCTGTCTGGTCTGGATAGGATTCAATATCAGGCTTTAAGAGTGACATTGGGTATGATGAAATCAACTCCAATTAATATTTTATTGGGAGAGGCTTGTGAAACAAGTTTGGAGGTGAGGAGGATTATGTTGGCTTCTAAGTTTTTGGTCAAGTCCCTTAGAATCAGAAATAATCCTAGTTTCTTAGCTACCCAACGGTTATATATTGCCTATCAAGAAAATCATAACTTTTTTAGAAGGAAGGCGAATTTACCCTTAGTTGAGGCATTTGACTACACCGCCACATATCATAATATTATCGATAGTGGAGATGTTCTAGCGTGTTTTAATAAGGACCTGGCCCCTCAGCTTACGCCTATTAATTTTGTTGATTCCAAAATTGAGAAAGGGGTGGGTCTAAATGAAACTGAGTTTCGGGAATTTTGTTCTAAAATGTGGACCGGGGAAGAGACATTTATATTTACCGATGCCTCTAAGGGACCAGATGATAGAGTTTGCTTTGGAGTATTTATTCCGTCTCTCAATGTTAGGGTCGGGCATGGGTTGAATAGCGCGTTTTGTATTTGCTCTGCAGAAATGGTAGCTATTAGTTACGCCCTAGATCTTATATTAGATTATAATATTAAACAGGCAGTAATTGTCTCCGATTCCAAAAGTGCCCTGCAGAGCTTCGGATGCAGTGCAGTTGAAGCTTCCAACAGCTACATTCTACTAGATATTAAAGCAAAGATTGATATTTTGAAGCGCAGACTTGGGGGGAAATATCGTTATGCTGGATTCCAAGCCATTCTGGGATAAGACATAATGAAACGGTGGATAGAATAGCCTCAGAAGCTAGACTTTTAGACCCGCTGAATTTAAGGCCCCCTTTTAGTGAACTTATCCCGATAATTAGAGCAAAGATGTGGCACATCTGGGCCATCAAGTGGAGAGAGTGGGACCGTTCAAAGGGCAGACTTTATAGTGCAGTTTATAAGACACCTCCAACAGTTCCATGGTTTCACAAACTACAGCTGTCTAGAAAGGAGATTACAACAGTGTGCAGAATGAGGAGTAATCATTGTAGTTCCCCAGCACATCTTTACAAGATAAACGTCAAAATATCTAACCTGTGTGCTTGTGGAGGGGTGGGAGATATTGAACATATCTTGTTTGATTGTGCTCTGCATCGCAATAACTCCCAAATTTTGTATGAGTCCCTCATTGATGCCAGCTTACCCGCTCCTATTAGTGCCTTTTCTGCACTTTTTCACCCTGGATGTATGGATTCTGTTGCACGACTTGTGGTTAGATTCCTTGATGCATGTGGTATCTGCTTATAACCGCTTTTCGATTTGCTAGCTCATGGTCTATGGGTTGGTTTTAATCATCATGTATATTAGTTAGAATTTCAAAAGAAGAACTCCTTCGCTGGAGAAGATCCGAAAACTCTCGACATTTAGAACTTCTGAGATTAGTCTCCTTCGCTGGAGAAGATCAGAAAATCCTCGACATTTGGAACTTTAAAGTTTAGTCTCCTTCGCTGGAGAAGATCTGACAATCCTCAACATTTGGAACTTCAAAAATCAGTCTTCTTCGCCAGAGAAGATACGAAAATCCTCGACATTTAGAACTTCAAAATTCTGTCTCCTTCCTGGAGAAGATCCGAGAATCCTCGACGGAAGTCGGCAATGGGCGAATGATCTTGGTAGTCGTGCCCAACAGCTATCTGTGAAACGCATCATTGAATTGAATTGAATTGACTTTATGCTTGACAATTGGCCAGAACGTAGAATAAGACAAATATTCCAGTTACTTGGCCGTTGATTGTCAAATTCAATTGTAAGAAATATAAGTTTTCGTTTAACAAGTTTATTTTAAATGAAATAAACCAATATATTCAAAAATTGCCTAATATTAGTGCCAAAAGAAGAACCATCCCTATCTTCACTCAATACTCAGATCGGCCCTGTCAAAACCATCTGTCACTGGCTATGAAGTCAAATGCGGGCATATTGCAAACTTGTTCTCATTTATAAACAATCGCAATGATTTTGCGCAATACGCGTGCAAACCTACTGTGAAATAAAATCATCGCAGAAGGTGCGGACTACTACCCGCGAATGGTCTCCGTAAAAGGCAACAATAATCACAATGTACTGAATGGGAAATCTGTGCGGCTTCCAATTATGTAATTTAGGCAACATGAATCAATCTAATTCAATCAAGTAGTGACGCCGTACATTCCGCTTGTAGAACAAAAAATTGCCAATCAGTTGATATCCCCATGGCCTACGATATAAAGTGGATTATACCAGCACTTCGCAAACCATCCAACCTGTGGAGGCTGGCCAGTACTCTCACGGTGGTGGCTGTGGGACTCTTTAGCAAACTATTGATCAGTGAGTATATAGGTATAACGTCCCCTTATCTTCATTTTAGTGGCGTCTTGTGTTTTTGTATTAGCTTTTTGTTTTAAATGTGCATGTTAATCTCAGTACTAGTCGCGTTCAGTCTTTTCTGTTGTGTTTCAGAATGGTTAAACAAGCCTAAGATTCACAACAGGCAGGTGATAGCTAGTTTGTTAGATAAACGTCCGAAATCGTTGCCTTTAGTGACCATATCAAATCACCATTCCTGTTTCGATGATCCTGGACTTTGGGGTAAGCTATTAGTATTGGTGTTACTTATCAATGGATTTCTAATTAAAAATACGAGAAATTCAAGATATATTTTCTTTTCTTTCTTTAAAAAAATAATTTCGCAATAAAAATTCGTAATAGTCGACAAAATATCGCCAGGTTGGATGTGAAATTTAATATTTGCGTCGATATTGGATTTCAAGAATATGCTGATGAGTGCTTATTAAATAAACTGGTCCGATTTAACCTTTGGAACGTAAAAAAAAATCAAAAGACACTGTCTTGCCCATCTGAAAGTTAGAATATTTGCTTGCTATTTTCGCGAAAAAAAATTCTGATACCTCCTCGCCTAGGAGGGCGAATAATTGTTTGCCCTTGGGTTGTTTAATTATTTAGCGACACTAAACAAATCTATTCTGTTTTTCGACTGCGAGAAAAAAATTAATTACTTGATCTGCTTGTTTAATATTGAAGGTCAAAACCGGTGATACCGATGAAATTGGAAATTGTGAAGTACCTACCAAACTTAACTTTGAACAAGTTTATTAGTATTTTTATTTTAATAGCGGCATTATCGCGTTAAGACAAGATGATTTTGAATTTTATGTACCACTTTATTTAAATTCTCGAAAATCCAAAAATTTCAACCAAATCTCTACGATACCGATATACGGGGTGTTCTTGGCATCATGTTGGTGTTATCTCTAAAATAGAAATGGCTGTTTGACAAAATATAAACTGTTTATAATATTTTTTACAATCTTTAGAAAAAGAAAACATTTTTTTTATTATTAAACTATATCCAAAATAAAAGTACTGGTTCATTAAAAACTCTGCATAGATGCAACTCATGTCTAAAAAGTATTAAAGACAAAAACATTTTGGATTTAAATATACCAAGGCAACTTTTGAACTGTGTAACTATGCTCAGTATATTTTTCTAGTGCGCTGTTGTCAGTTGATTTAATTTTCCCTGACATTTTATGATAAATTTAAAATTGATGTGTTAACTCTTTTCTATAGCTTAACGTTTTCAGTTAGATTAAAGAGTTTTTTAGGAACATTAAAATTTAAACACCTGATTAGTCACTCGACGATGCGTTGGTCTCTGGCCGCTCACGATATCTGTTTCACTTGCCCGCAACACTCGTATTTCTTCAGCTTGGGCAAGTGCGTGCCTGTGGTCAGAGGCGCGGGTGTCTACCAGGACGCCGTAGATTTTATGATAGAGCGCCTAGGCAAGGGCGACTGGGTCCATATATTCCCCGAAGGTGAGCGCTTGCATATGTTTCTTGGAATTTTTTGATATTGTTTGGGTTATTAATAAAAAACAAAAATAGAGATTAATAAATATAATAAAATAATAAAATGACGAAAAAAAATAGTGTCAAACAAAATTATTTGCTCAAGAATTTAGAAAACAAAATTCAAAATTGCTTTAAAAGACACAAAAAAGGTGATTTATAGACTTAAAAAAAAACCGAACCATTTAGCACATGCCATTTTGCAGCAAAAATTTTTGACGAAATAAGAAATGAAAAAAAAAGGAATTGCAAGTTGGCACAATATGAAACAAATAAAACAAACAACCATCTTTTGATGTCTTTGACTATTGCTATAAGAAAAATAAGAAATTGAAAAAAGGTATATTTTTTCGAAATAATTCGAAAATCGACTCGAAATTCAATAAATTTGTTGTCCCCGCAGGTAAGGTAAACATGACAAAGGAAAATATACGGTTCAAGTGGGGCGTGGGTCGCATGATCTTCGAAGCGCCGGTCACGCCTCTCGTCGTGCCCATATGGCACATCGGGATGGACGACGTGCTCCCCAACGAGCCCCCCTATGTGCTGAGGTTGGGCAAACGCCTGACCTTCAACTATGGCGATCCTATTGACCTCTCGGACATGGTGCGGGGGCTGAAGGAGGCGAAAGCGTCGGATGAGCACGCGCGCAAGCGCATCACCGACTACCTGCAGGACAAGATGCTGGCGCTCAAGGCGCAGACCGAAGTGTTGCACGCCGAAACGTTATGATGATGGCGTCTCCGGCGGTAGGGTTTGGGCAATTCTGGGTTCGGTGGGCTTTCTGGATGGTAGTTTGAGATTTGTACGCCTTTTACCGGGTTTTCCCAACTTTTAATGATTATTGAGAAACTCGGCAACGTCGTGATCTGCCGAGCGCGTTCTCCAAGGGACTCGGTTTTTATTGTTTTATTTTATTATTGTTTATTGACTCCGTTTTAACATTTTAAATTTGTACTATGCTGGGTTTCGAATTCAACCCTCAACATTGGAAAACGTCGGAAACGAACCCCCAAAAAGTTGAAGTTGCTTCCGAAAATATAGCGAAAAAACTAAAATGCCTGGTTTTTGATTTAATTTTTTACCAGTTCATTTCATTGGAGCTGCCTGGGCCTCACCTTTTCATTTATTTTATTGCAGTTTTGAATAGTATCGCAACTTTACCCTAATTTAAGTGATCTGTTTCTGTATGCTTGAGTATATCTTCCAGTTTCCGAGATTTTAATGTTAAGATTCGAATTAGGCACACCCGATTTAAATTAACAAATATTTTTAGAAGTTCAATCCACGTTTTTAATAATAGCTGTTTGCTTTTTCCTTGTCTTCCGGGTAACATCGGACCCATTCAAACGCAAACAGAATGAAATGCCTTTAAAATTTTTTAGTTATCGACGACATTCAGCGATACATGGCAATGCATTGATGGGTTGTCTGTTCTGAGAGTGTCTCCGTGTTGTCAGATCACGCGCGTCTGATTTCAAACTACCACCGACCTTTGTGGGTAGGAGATCGTCGGGGGTAAAATAAAAATGTGCGGGCAGGTATAGTAGGTATAGTATATTATAGCAACTGGGAGTGCAGGGAGTGTTGATATGGGTAAAAATCTGTGATTTTTAGATAGATAGCAGAGGTTTGACAGGGCCTAAAAAAGTCGACGGGAGATGCAATCAATGTCAGTTGTGGAGCGAAATACCCTTGTTTTGCATCTGCCGTCCACTAGCGTATTGTTTGTTAGTTTGGACAACCAGAAGACCCGCGTAAGTTCGACGTTTTCCAAAACACCCCGTATAAATATAACCAAGGCAAAACATATTTTATGATTTCTTACCCTTTAACTTGACAAGACAGGTCTGAACTTTAGCCATACTCGCGTGCGATAGTTCTTTTTTGATTCAGCCATCCTGTATGTATTTATAATTTATAGCTCAGCCGTTCAGTATAAAACAAAGATATGTTTATTAATCATTATCCGTATTGATAACGAGAGTTTTCAACATGAAACGAGCGTTGACATGTGCTAGTCATAGGGGTAATTTATTAGGATTTTTTGTTGGTACTGTTGTCTTGTTGTTTGGTGTTCTGTGACGCGATAAACGTCGTTACGTATTTCTGAATCGCGCGTTTACTGCTTAATTTGAGGTTAGGTATGTTCGACTACACCCACGAAGATGGGTTTCTTACATTTTCTCGCGTGCAGTACATAGTCTTCTGCAACGCCAATGTCTTTCATATTCTTCCGAAGACAAAAAATAATAAATATTGCGCATATAGGGTATTTTTTTAAACGGGCTAGGCGAATTTGATATCGACAATAGTTTCGTTTTGTTGACTAATTTTTAAGGATAACGATCAAAGCTCTATTCCATTATTGTTAGTATTAGATATATATCGGCTAGTTTTTTTATTTGTTTTTACCGTTTTTGTTATCCAGTTTGAAAAAAAATTGACCCAATCATATATTATAACTTTATTTTCCCAAAATAAAGATTTTTATCATTTTACGTTTTGTTTTATTCATCGCAGATTGCGAAAATGGAATGAGGCCACTTTTTAGTAGCACTTTACGGGTGACTCGCCCTCACAGAACATTCTTCTTTCTCGCAAATAGCAAAGTTATGGAAGACTTATGGCTATGCGCCCATTACCAACGGCCGTTGAGGAATTTTTTCTTTGGTCACAGACCAACAACCGGCGTGGACGACATAATCTATCATAGCACATAGCAGCACATTCGCTTATCAGAATAGGATTCGGAATTATACCTAGACAGTGACGACGATGATGTCACTGTGCGCCCGACTCAAACATGACAATCGAATTGACGTTTTATATTTAATAATCTATTCCAACAACAGGATAAAAGTAAAAAAAGGGGTTTACTATTTCTGCCTTTTTATTTCGCCTGACTCGCCCATCACCCCTTCCAGCATCTCTGCGCTTGCCCTAGACATATTGGTGGCAGCATCGACGAGCAAATGATGATACTTGTCGCTGCCGCCGGTCTCCTTCTCGGGCGTCAAATCGTAATCCGAAAAGTGAGAATAGCTATCAGCCATATCTATTCGACTTTTAACCGACACACGCGAACTGACCTCACTCTTCAACTCAGTATCGGTTTTAACGATGTCTGAAGCACTCAGCGCGGATGGCCTTACACCGTCTATGTCATCGGTGATGTGATCGCAGCTAACCGTAAACGTTTTGCTGCTATCGACCGAGTTGCGTCTAGATTCAACTTTTTGCTCGTTTTTGATTAAAATTAGCTTTGGCTCCACGTCCAGTAAAGTTTTCAGCACGTAAACGGGTCCCTTAAGCAAAACGTAGTCGTCTTCGTTAATATTACCTTCAATGATAACCTTTACACCCTTCCCGGGAACAGGTTTGAGGTTAGGTTCACGAATTTGAGATATCTCGCCATTTTTCGAGTCAGTTTTTATTAATATATCGTCTAGGACTCTTGCAACGTCTTCGTCCGCCGCTATACATGTAGACTCATTTAATTGCTGATTTTCAGCTGCACAACTCTTCACGTCACTTTCCGAGATGAGCTCCACATCATCATTGAGGTGGTTTGCTTCACAGGATCCATGAGGTTGCACCGCCAATTTTGTTCCTAGAACTTCATCTCCGTTCTGATATTCAGCCGAATTTTCAAAGCGGTCCTCCATTGCGAATATTTTATAATTTTTAACTGTGCCGCACGACTCGGTGCGTTCTGTAACTCTGTCCAAGCTTAGCTTATCTAACAGCTGCAAAACGTTCGAATCACCACCGTTGCTCAAAAATATCGGCGTCAACGGTAGTGCGTTGCAATTTTTGCAATTTTCGAAAATACTTTTGTCGACACGACGCCCCATTTCGTAAACACAGATAGACGCCTCCGCCTCGGGGTCATACTCGTCGAACGACACGTTCAACTCTTTGCACAGGCCCGAGAGATGAGAACGCATTTTTTTCTAAAACTCTTTATTTTAGCGCACTACTTAATATGTCATACAAAAATACTGACCTCATCCAGTCGATTCATATTCGCACCGATATGGCTGTCAAATATCCTTTTTATGTCTTTGCTTGTGTAAAAGTCGTTGGATATTATGTCCTCTGTGACTCTCAACAAAAACAACAAATAGTCCTGGTCATCTGCACTAGAAATATGGTCAATTACTTTTAGGTAGTGTGAACTAACGCAAAAATCGTAATCTAAATAAACTAAAATAGAACAAACCTAAGAGCCTCTATATTATTCCATAAATGATGATACCTTAGGTAAAAAAATTGAACTAAACAATTTACTTTCTTTCATGTGATCATAAATTAGTTTTGCCCAACCCAAAATGACCCATGCGCAATACCTTTCAAACTAAACTACTGAACAATTGATACACCAAACATTTTGTAAATATAAAATAGAACTAATCTAAGCGCACATACGCAATTTACCTCTTGTCGCCAGAAAAGTTAGATAAACGATAAGTAAGGTATAAAGAAAGAAGAAAAATAACTTGTATTTCAAGGGGCTCCCCGAGTAAGTCATATTTTGATTTAACGAATTGTGCAAATTTGCGACAACCTAAACTAATTCGAAGTGGAAGAACACGAAAACTAACTTACCTTCTTTTAAAAATCGACTTGGATTCAACATTAGGACGAGAAATATAATGAGATTTCTCATTCCAATTATCACTTCTCTCGCTAATCAATGGTACAAACGATTTAGTTTTGACGTGATCATCTTCACCATTTAATCCTACCTTATCACAATTTTCGAATTGAAAAACATCAGTTGGTAATGAGGTTTGACGTTTAAAATTGTGCTGTGGTACACTCTTTGGTGGAGGTTCCCACGAACAGGGTTCTAGTTTGAGCTGAAAAGGACTTAAGCTGAGCACTTTTAAAATCTGAGAAGCGAAAAATTCTACCGGCATTATGGGGGTGACACTTGGGTTTCTTCTTGTGGAAGGCCTTGATGAGGAAATGTCCGAGTAGAATGAGTCTTCGCTTTTACCATCCCAAGACAGTAACTGTTGCTTTTTCCGGGTTGTTGTTCCCGTCAATGTATTTTTACTCCGCCTCCTAGAAAATAAATCGCCTTTACTGATGAAAAGGAACTTGGTACCTGAAAATACTTCGGAACGGGATGGGACATTTTCTTTGGTGATTTCGGACGAGGAGAAGAATCCACCACGCTTTTCACCTTCTTTAACATTCTGTAGTGGTTCCGCATGTGGAAATAAACGTTAATATCATCGAAATACAAGGGAGTCATTTTTTTAGGTTAAGACGACGATCACAACAAATGCATGCGCGTTGTGCGCATGAACCGCTGACATGTATTTCTTCATAAAGGAAAGCCATTTTGAACATGTGTAAATAATGCCACTTACCGACTTGAATTTTAAAATCTTTTTGAAAGCCAGTTTCACGTGAACCTATAAACAAAATACTATTTTTGACTTTTGTTAATTGGAACTACTCGTAGTTCATACAAACCAAATGTTCTGGTAAAGCAATGCGAAAAAATGGTGTAATTTTGAGATGATCTCAAGTAACCCGGGAAACAAGACAGTTTTGTCAATTTTGATTAAGTAGAAAGGTTTGTCGTTGGTTAAAAAATATGCCTCCGACCAGTGGAAAATTTTACAGGAAAGTCCAAAAAGAAAAGCATAAGCTCTCTGGCGACCATCAGTGAGTGTTTAATTTCTTTAAAAAACAATGCATTGCTATTCGCTTAGGTGAAAGATCACTTAGCCTTTTCAAAAAAATGTGGAACGCTTCACGATTTTGCGTGTCATCCTTGCGCAGGGGCCATGCTAATCTTCTCTGTATCGTTCCAATTTTAGTATATGTACCGCCGAAGCGAGTACATGGTAAATGGCGGATAAATATGTATATCTAGTTAATTCCGATCGTTTTGGGGCGGTGAAATGTTGTCCCAATAAACTTTATTGAGTAAACTGAAAAACAGATGGCGCCAAGCGATGATATAAGCCGAATTATGCTGAGTAATTTTTTAATGGTGGGGAATACGTTATATTATAATTTCATTATACATATTTAGGAGAGAAAAAGGTAGTAATTGCTACGCTTTACATTTTAACTTGCGAAAGGTTAGGAGATATACCGTGTCTTATACTTATCTACTATTCATTAATCATTGTACTCCTAATAGTCCCAACCAGTGCAATCACATGCTCCACGGTCAGTTCATTCACCACAAGCCTCTGCGGGCTACGGAGGGCAAGCAGGTAGTGGTCGCTGATGGCGCCCGGACTCTGATCGTCCCTGAGCGCACTCCAGTGGATAGGCCTGCGATACTGGCCCAATCGGAATTCGAGAGGTTGAAAAGTCAGGCTCACGTAAGTGCCCAGGGTCGAGCAATTTTGTTTTTCACGCTAAAATGACCTCGCGCTTAGGTAACGACCCTAGAGGACAGACTAAAAACGATCGAGGAACTTGACAGGCGCAAAAACGCGCTCGTGATGGAAAGTCTGGCGAGGAAAGAGGAGCTGCTCAAAACTCAGAAACATCGGATCGTCGAGCCGGGTGGCAAAGCAGAGACGGTATTCTACATATAATACAACAAATTTCCACTTAAGCATGAACTAAACTAACCAGAACTTGTATAACCTTATGTTGAAATCATCCTTTTCGATCTACCGCTTTTGCAATACTCCCAGGTCGAGTCAGACTCAGTCCACATCCTCAAACGGTCGGAGGAACTGCTGATGGAACAAGACGAGAGAGTGAAACGAGCCAACGGTATTATCCTCGCGGCCAAATGCCGCGCCATACGTAACGCGCAAATAGCCGAGAAAAAGGTAATATGGTCTCCAGTTAGTATTTTGACCGCGCTCCCTAAACGGCGCTTTCTAGGTTATCGAACGGCGACTGAAAGAAGAAGAAACTCGCCTGGAAGCGATGATGGAGCAACAACGTCAGAAAAGTATAGAAGCGGAGGAGAAGAAACGGGAGGAGGAGGAAAAGAAGAAGGAGGCATACGTGGTGGAGGTGACGCGGCAGATGAAAGAAAACGAGCTGGAGAGGATGTTGGAGGCGGAACGGATCGAGGAGGAGAGCAGGATGTTGAATAAGGCGCTGATCGAGCTTCAGAAGGACGACGAGGAAAAGCTGAGGGTGAAAAGAGAGGAACAGTTGAGAACGAGGGAGGAGTTGAGGCGGACCAACGAGGAGGCGGAAAAGTACAGGAACCTCAAAGCTGAGGAGCAAAGGATCGCGGATTTGAGGGTGAGCGCTTTTTGAATGTGGTGGAGTGGTGGAAAGTGGATTGGGTTCTCAAGGTTCAAGAGTTTATGCGTCAAAAAGCGCAAAGAGAAGAGGCCAGGGAAAAAGAACAGTCGCTCTTGAGGGCAGCGAAAGAGCGAGAAATTGCAAGACTGCGAGCCATGCAGGAAAAGAGCAGAGATATCCAGGCGGCTCTCGACGAGATGCACGCTTTACGCACACAGGAGGAGGTAATGTAGGAACTTCAGCCTCGGGTTTATACTTTCCAGGTCCCTCGAATCCACAGAAGGAGCGCGAATGGAGGGAGAAGGAGAAACGGGCAGCTTTGGAGAAACAGAAAGCTACCAGGGAGTTGCATGAGGCTAGAAGGAGGCAAGTGGAGGATATTAGGAGGGCGCAGGCGTTGGCACTCGCCAGAGATGAGGAGGACTTTAAGAAGGTGGCGAAGGTGCAGCGGGAGTGGTTGGAGAGAGACGGTCAAAAGAGAGAATTACGGAAGAGGGAGGTTGCGGTGCACAGGAGGGAGTTGTTGAAGCAGATCGACGAGAAGGAGAAGGAGAGAATTGAGCGCGAGAGGGAGAGATTCGAGGAGGGCAAGGCACAGAGGATGGAGTACGCGTTGAGGGACAGGGGCGTGGAGGATTATCTCAAGCGCAAGGTCGAGCGGTTGAGGTGGGTTTTAATGAAACAAATGTTAAAATCAGTATTAATTAATAGTTTGTAATGTTTGAAATTGTTTAAATATCTTTCAGAGAATGCAACGTGCCAGAGCTTTACGTCAGGGACATCGAGAGGCAACTGAAACTGGGGGGAAAATGACGAGCTTATGTTATCTAGTTTTCGATTTTTTGCTTGAAATAAAATTGTTCGTTATTGATTTTAGTGTTTGTTTTCTTTCATTTGTTCATTTGTTAAATGTTATTATTGTAAAAGAATTAGACCGAGTGGGACTATAATTCATGACAATAACATTTTCTAAAACCGTTGCAAACTTCAATAATTAATTAAATAAAATAAACTATATAAACAAAAATGAATAGGCATATTTTGTTCTGAAGTATTTGAATAACTAGACAAATTTCTAGGCTTGCTTGACCTAGTATTTATTTTATTATCCAAATCCAAAACAAAACATTTTCAAGGCAACTAATCCAACTAACGGAATAGTTGCTGTCCAAGCAAATTGTGACTTTATTCAATATTAAAAATAATGGATTAAGTGACAACGAAAAGACGATCCTAGATATTGGCATTTTTAAAAATCGAAAGAAGAAACAGAATTATGAAATTTCAGATTGGGGCGTTTCAATAGCTGCAAAACAATGGAGGGTCGTAATAAAAAATCAAATCAAACATCAAATTTAAACAGTATGGTATTACCTACGATCGAAGTGTGATTATACACGGGAAACTCGTCGTTCTGCTAAGAGAAAATTACAAGTCGAATTAAACTATTGATGGGGAAATTCGGCAAAAATATTTTCAATATGGCGACAAATCGGATATACCGGAAGTGGGTGTAAGTTTTCTTTTTTTAAATGGATATTATTTCTTTTTTGGATTCTCCGGATTTTACTATTTCTGATATATTCAACGTTTGCAGATGTAATTTTTTCCTTTAAAATTTCAATTTATTAAATTTGGTTAGAAATTCTGGTTAATAATAATAATAATAATAATGGAAATCACTTGTTTTTATAATTATCAATTAGAATTAAAAAAATAGATCTGTCAGCGGCCATGTTGTTGAATTGCAATGCAATGGACCTTTTCACAAATATTTTGATAGTTGCTTAATAAGTATTATCGGCATGGGTAGACCCTCTATATCTCTGGTAGCTATATGGTAAGCTCAGTTTTTGCCTATCGCCTTTAATAAACTCTTTAGCAGGTTGTTAAAATATAAATCAATGCCCTGTATGCATACATAAGTAGCAACTCATTTTTTTTCGAACTGGGGACATCTGAGTTGCGCTAGAGGCAGAGCATAAATAGATTGCCGTCGCAATCTTTTCGCTGCACCAGGCGACTGCTAAGCGCTACGCGCTATATTTTAGAATTTTTGCCCATAAACGACGCAGTCTTTATATAATTCAAAGAATGTTCGAAATAAATGTTATAGCCCAGGAATCTCCCAGGTTCCCTGGTATATGAATTTTTTCAATAGATTACATGATTTTCGAAGAAATACTTGTTTTAGATTGAGCGAGAGAAATAGTGATTTTCATATGATTTTTTCCATATATGTCGAGCAACGTAAGTGATAGACGAAAACCCTAAATTCAAAAATTGTAGCTTTTTAACTTTACTTTAACTTTACAGCTAATAATTTATTGTCGAAAAGGACAATTTTCAGGGTCTTTTGATTTTTGTCTGTAACTAAAACACTCTGTATATAATGCTTAAAATGCTTGAAACAAAAGTTATAGCCACGGATCTTCCGTGTGGTTTCAAAATTTTTGAGAAAACAAGCGAAAATAACAAAAAAATAAATTCAAAAATTTTAAAAAATACTTTGCATCCAACATGAACTGTTCAAATATGGGCGTGGACTTCCTACCTTCCACTTTCCTACCAAATCTGAAGTCAATAGCTCGAAATACATTTCTTATATAGCACGCCATATCCGGAACACCCTGTACAGTAGCTGGAACCCTTAAATACAAAAGTTTTAGCTGTCTATATCGTGGTATAAACTACTGAATCACAGCTTTCCAGTTTTAGCCAATTTAAAAAAAAAAATTTTTTTTTTTTTGCGAATATCAGGCTTTTTACTTTTGAATATTGCCAAGAATAAGGCTTTACAGCACTTAATAAATTTTTTGATCGCATAAATGGTTTTCGAGAAACGATATTTGTCATCCCGTTGCCTGTAAAAATAGAAGCAAAATTGGAAGCGCCTAGCTCAAGGCGTTCGGAAGCTATCGTCAAATTTTTTTTTTTCGATACTGAATTGTTCTGTACCAACCGAGATCTCGAGTTTATTGAGAAGCGCGTATACTTTCGCAAAGTCATTGGTTAAAACATATACCTATTAGATAATACATTGGTTGCACCACGCTAAAAATTGATGCGCCGTAGGCGGCATTAATATTTTGGTTAGTTTGGTTAGTAATGATTTTCCGTGCATGCCTGTATATTTCACCCACCACTAAAACTTTGAGCCATTTTCTTCATAAACAGCAATTTCCACAGACTTAACTCTTTTTCTCAGAACATTTAACGAGATCTAGGGATATTTTGGGAAAATACTGCCGTAAAAATGCCCCATCGAAACTTATTGACGAGTTGTCAGCGGCCATGTTGGTTGTCGAGTGGAATGCAAGGTCATTGATTAAAAACGACATCTTAAGTCTCGCAAATACGGATGTTATATATAAGCCACACTTAAATCATTGTACGCACGAAGATTATTTGAATTTAATATTGATTGATACTTACGTTTTAATTTTTGTTACTTATAGTTTTTCCATAACAGATCGAAGACGTTCTTGGGTCACCCTGTATGTTGGCATACAAAAATAACATTTGCATAGAAAAAATGACAGAGCCTCGTCGCCTGGATTAAAACTCTAGATGGCCCACAGTATATTTGGCGATTCGGGAATGGCCCTGAATGGGGCCCTGCGCCGGCGTCGCTCGAAACGACGCCCGTCGTCGGGCGATTAGATGCTGAGACGATCTCGCGCGTGATCCACACACACCCCGCCACCTCCCCTAGTCTATTGTTATTTTCCGCTCAGTTTACCAGCGTCTCTATTTTTCGAATTTCCGGCATTGTTTTCGCGTCTTCCCGGTGAAATGTGAGCGCGCCGCGACGCGTACGCGACACCGTCAGGGCGTACGAGGGATTATTTTGACGGAAGGACCCTATACATTATGTAAAAAACGTCATGAGGTTCGTGTGGTGGTCCATTGTCGCTTTGGCATTGGCTTTCCTATGCGTCGTAGAAGAAGGTAAGAGGCATGCATAATAACAATAGTGTTTCCGTGTTTCTTTAATTTATTTATTCCCTTTTGCTTGCATTTGTGTATAGAAAACCTGGATGCTAATTTAAAAAAATATAATTATAAAATGTAAATTATTTAAAAAAAAGACAATCCCAAAATGAAAGTAACTAATACAGTATTGGATTTTATTTATGCATTTCAAATGTAAAACATCCCATTCATTTCGTTTTTTCTTATACACACACGCGTTATTTTATATGATAATTTAGTCATGTATATAACGTTTTGCCAGCGGACGCTAAGACCAGCGTTTATTAATTGTCAAAAGTTAAATCATAAAATAATTAAAAATGTTTGTTACAAATTACACATACATTTTAAGGAGCTATTTGTATCCGATAAAGCTACATTCGGAAATACATTCAGTAGTACATGTCTACTGGTATTAATATAGGTATTGTTTGGCCCAACTAAACTGAAACTAAAATTTTGCATCCTATATCCTCTAAAAATCACTAGATTGGAACGTTTATTTTTGCTTATTTCATCTAATTACTAGTCGATTTATTATTCGCATCTTTAACTAAGCTTTCGACACTTTCTTATTTTTTTCACGACTCGTATTACGTTTCTTGTAAGTTCGTCATTTTTCTCCCCGTGTCATCAAAACAAAATGACATAAAGATTACTATATTTCTGAAACGAAGAAGCCAAAGATTGCGCTTTCTATCGGTGGTTTCCACATTAAGGTTGTCCAAGCATTGCAGAAGTTAGAGCCATTAAAATTTGTCAATTATTTCACAAAATTTTATATTATCTATTTGTTTTTTCAATTATTTTTCGATTCCCTCATGAGGTCGAGAATTTGAACTGTTGAAAGTTTATTATTCTGGATCGGGACACGTGGTAATATATTGCTGGCTATTTTAAGCCGTTCGACCCTCCCCCCAAACTAGATGCGTTTCCAGACTTTACACGCATTCTTTTCCTTGTTTGCGCACGTGTATGCTAACAATAACTCCGGAAGTTATTTGAGTTACGCGCCTTTTTTATTTAACTTTTTGCGATTAAAAACATTATTTCCTTGTTGACGATAGGGCGTGGGATAAATAGGCTGAAACGTTCCGCAAAGTAAAAAAAATTTTTATGATCAGTTTTATTATTTGGTGTAACTATGAAACCTATGTGATCTATGGGATCTATGTGAATGCCAACAACGTTTTTCTCGCCCATCTTCATTTTTGACAATTTTTCCTTTGACTTGCCGATATTTATCATTACCAAAAAGGGAATGAGATCAAAATTTTAACAAGACAAGATATATCATACAGATACAAAACGTTTCAAAACAAATGCCAAAAAGGTAAACTAAAATTTTATTTTTTTATCTTAAAACAGTTTTTTTTAAAAGTTTATGTATTAATAGGTAACTTAATTTAAGAAATTTTCATTAATCAAGTATTTTTAAAATGAAAATGTTTGGAGGATAATTGACCTTCAAGTTTGACGTTTCATTTTTTTATGTGGAAACCTGTGAAAACAAACCTGGTTATAAAAAAGTTGTTTTTTCTTATCATTTTGTAAATTGTTTAACACATTTGGTTAGGAAGCATGATAAAGGTAACTATCTTTTCTAATTCCATCACTTTATAGGGTGACTCAATGATAGAGCAAACTTCATTTCTCATTCGTTTCAAAAGTGATCAGAAAATGGTACAAAAGTTGTATAGATTGTTAGAAGATGTACAATTTAAATTTATTTTAAGGATCACGCTATTTTTAAATTTTGTTTTGAATTCCTTTTGAAATTCTTCAACTTTTCTATTTTTAATAATACATACCTAAACCTAATAGTTTTTTCAATATTTACTTTTCTCTAAAGAAATACTAGTTTTTAAAAATTGAACTGAGGTGGCTTTTACTTGATGAAAATCCATTCATCAAAATAAATAAGAACTCAAAGTTCAGATTTTCACGAAATTATGTATTATGACAAGACAATTGTTTCGACAGCACCGTGTCTTTATCAAATGTAATATTTACAAACTACCTGCTACTATATATACCGAAAAATGAGCATAAAACCTTAATTAATGTTGTTGCGAGAATTTAAGTTCAATAAAGGAGAGGTATTTAAATCTAATTTATCGTTAAGCAATACATTTGAATGTCTCATTTTGTTAATCTCCATTGCTTCCAATAAATTTAATTTTCTACTTTTTGTGGCTGTATGTACAATATCAAAATTGTCGTCAAAAATGTGTTTTTCTGTGTATAAGTGTGTAGCATAATTAGAATCCAGACTAAAACGATCTAAACGTTTCTAAACGATCTTTTATGTTCGTTAATGCGTTTCTTGAAGGATGTTCCCGTTTGTCCAATATAAATTTTAGGACAAAATCCGCATTTCAACCTGTAGACACCTGATTTTTGAGATTTTGGACATTTCGTTTTATTGTTTTTCAAATATTTTCCTATTGTGTTGTTAGTTCTGAAAGCTATTTTTAAACCACATTTTGACAAATATTTTCAAACTTTTTCACTAGGTTCTCCTATGCATGTAATTGTTTTAAATTGTTCGTGTTCTGTATTAGGTTTCGGATAAATAAAGTTTACTGTTGTCTCGGTTTGTTTTTTATTTATAATTTTATCTATAATGGACGGATTGTAGCCGTTGTTCAGTGCAATTTGTTGAATGATATTAAGTTCTTTGTTGTAATTTTCTATTGAGAGTGGCGTATTAAGAAGTCTGTGTATAAAAGAGTTGAATGCAGCCATTTTGTGTGTATAACGGTGATTTGAGCTGTGTATGACTGTGTCCGTGTGTGGAGGTTTATGATATATTGAAAAATCTAATTTGTGTTGCGCTTTCGTAATAGTGAATTTTATACGATTATGTAATGAGTTAATGTAATTTAAAAAAGAATGCAATTGTCTGTCCGTTCCAACAAAGCAAGCAAAGACATCATCCACTTATCTATACCACCATAAAAAACTTTTACTTAAAGGATGTTCTAGTATGATATTTTCCAAATTATCTAAGTGGGTTTCCCATAATCAAACTTTCTTTAGAGATATAAATCTGTCCATTAAATTCAAAATAATTTTGGTCTAAAGATACCTTTAAGCAATCTAATAAATCTTGTTTCACCAATGGGTTAACCTGTTTCCGAGTTATGGTGATATCTACTAAATCTATCACATCCATCGGTGGAATGCTGGGAAATAAGTTTTGTACATCAAAAGACAATAGTGTAATGCTATCTTCTGCTGTTGTAGTTTATTCCAATGAATCCACCTTTCTCCATCCATTTCTGTAGGAAGTAATTATTTAAAAATTCTCGAACTTCTCGATGGCAATGCGCCATCTTGCTAAAACTGTATTTTTTGCATCTCAATGTTATCAATAAGAAGTTGAGGTTAATCATTCTGCAAAAAGTTTAAATATCTAGGCCCATTAATGGCCCAATGGTTTTGATATTGCACTTCTCATACCCAGAATGGATTAACCGTTGAATAATAGCGCATGCTATGACGATGACTCCACCATTAATGCAAAAAGTAGCTTCAACTGAAAACATTATTTTAGACAAAAAATTTGGATCGGCCTCTATTGTTTTATTTATAACGGTGCAGAAGTTTATATATAGTGAGCCATTTAAAATAAGATTTTTCAATTTAAATGATCCAAATATATTTGTTTATTTTGAACACCCTACATATATCTCTTACTTGACACGCCAACATCAAATATGAGTGTTCTACTTTCAAAAATAATGGCGTTATCTTTTTTTTTTGTGAAAACTACTATTTTTTTTTAAATTTAAATATTTAAAATTATTGAAGAATTTCAAAACGAATTCAAAACAAAATTAAAAAATTTGTTCTATTTGAAAAAAAAAGTTTTATTTCTGTCACTTTTTTGAGCCACCCTATATACTTTAACAACTACCTAATGGGATATTTACTTACTCTATCGGTGACTCACCCTATACTCATTCTACTCATTCTAAGAAAGTGGGAAATTATACGGGAAATGTGTTTCTATAACATTATTATTTATGAAAGCTGCATTTTCCCGCCATATTTGTTTCGCGATGCTTCCTAATGGTTATATTTTGATGCAGCGTTATACATATAATAAACTACCATTTATTTTAAACAAAGAATCACCCTTTAAGATTTTCTCATTTGTTTTGAAGCGCCTTACTCATCTATGAGAAGTTTCTTCGTATGAATCACTAAAGAACACCTAAAATGTTGTGGGGCAATCGACAGAAAAATAGTTTCCAAGAGCAGATTTAAATTTTGTCAAAGCCCTCTTTTCAGGCAGCAATTTGTTTAACACGAATCAGGGTTCCAAATTCTGTTAATTTACTGAAACATTGAAGAAGTGGACTAAAGCATCTGTGACTTTTACTAGTGTTTATGTTAGCTTCCGGCAGTAATAATAGTTTCATATTATGAAAAATAACTACTTGTTGTCGATTTTCGGAAGAATGTAAGAGTGTTCTTTTTTCCCAATTCGACGCGATATGTCCTTATAATATCGTACTATTAGCATTCGTTTTCTAACAAACTGCAGCCAGTAAAAGTTGTATTTTATGCATCTTCACATGTTAAAAATGGTCGGTTTAAAATTTCAAGATATAACACAAAACCTTCTGTTTCCGACACCCGGAAACGCGATCGAATACTCAACTGGCGGTGAGGGCACCGTACAGGAGCGTACCCAATCATTTTCCTCCCCTTTCAGCTCGCGCTTTCTCCACCACGATCGCGACTCCTTCTGAAGACGACGACGACTGGGACGAGGATGAGTCTTCAGAAGTCGAGGACGAGGGCAAAATTTACAAGAACCCTAGGAATTCACCTTCCACACTATGTCCCAGAGACGAGGAACAAGCTACGCTGCTGGTATTCTAAACCGTACTCTGATCTCCACCAAAAACACAACTCCAATTGATTTCAGGGTCAAAAATGTTTGAGAAAATGTTCTTCCGACGAGGACTGCAAGAGCAAGAAGAAGAAATGCCTGTGCGACGGAGCGTGCGGCATGTCGTGCATAAAACCGGGTAACCTGCCGCTGTTTCTGTTGCGATCGGGTTGATAAATCAATGCGTTTCAGATCGGGAATGTCCGGAACCCGAGCAAATCTCCTTTGGTACCGTGACCACCAGCGGCAAATTATTTGGTGCGCGCGCATCTTACGCCTGTCAACACGGATACCATGTGGTGGGTCTGCAAAGTCGCACGTGTCAGGCGGACGGACAGTGGGCGGGGCAAGCGCCCGCCTGCAAGCAGAACAGTAAGTTGCCGTGAACTTACTGAGGTTTATTGATATTAGGAAGTCAAACAATTTAAAAGTTCAAAAGAAACTTCCACAGGCTACTCTAATACTATTTACAAATCTCCTGGATTCCTTCTGCGTCGGTTGTTTGTCAATTAAACTTGCTGACGTTCCACCAATAATTCTGTTGACTTCTTTAGAGCTTAACTGTTAACTTTTCTCTTAACTCAGTTGAGCTCTGAAGAACCCACAGGAAGGTTGGCGAAAGGTTAGCAAGTTTGATTTATTAATAACCAACGCAGGAGCAATCCAGAAAGCTGTTGATGTCTAGAACCCCCAAGTAAACCAAACTTCGAATAATATTTAGCCACTTCAGTGGAATAAGTATGATAATAGAACAACAAGAAAGAAACAAACGTTTGTCAAAAATAAAAAAACATCTTTACTATTTTCCACCACATTTCTGGTTCACCCGTCAGAGATTTTTGAATCGTATTTCCAGTATATTGCCTGTCGCCACCGACCATAGACCACGCAAGACACAACGCTTTACCGGAACAGGCAACCTTCGACTTGGACTCGACACTTCAGTACTACTGTCACACGGGTTACGTAACTAATGGGTTCCCTAGAGCCAAGTGCTTAGCCATTGACAACCAAGCGTCTTGGTACGGACCGGACATCTCCTGCGAGCGTAAGTAAAACTAGTCTAGTTCCAGGGTGGGTCGCATAATTTAAGGTGTTCTATATCAGCGAGATCCTGTGGTACCCCCACCGACATCTCTCACGGATGGCACGCAGGTGAATGTTACACTTTCGGCTGTCGCATCACGTACCACTGCGCTGAAGGTTACGAACTGGTCGGCCGTACGGAACGGTATTGCCAAGCCGACGGTACTTGGACTCCGAAAGAGGTGCCCACCTGTGTTCGTAAGTATCACCAACGGAATCAACGATGGTTCCCAATAAAAGTGCCCTTCCCAATTTTCTTACTCGTGGTATTCTTTATTGGGAGCCATTATTTTTTTTGGCAAAGTCCACCAGAAGACAAGCGCAAACGCTATTGTCCTCTCTCTATGAAAGGCGTTTACGCTTGTATTTTGGGAGGCTTTACCACCCAGCAAACAACGTCCATCCGCCACCATCCGTCTGTCGTCTCATCGTCACAAGCCCCACCCCTTAGTGAAAGCCACCCCCTCTATATGCCCTTTGTTATACCCTGTGACTCACTGGTCGATGCTGCGTAGTTGTGACCGCGGTCCAGTGCCCGCCACCGGAAAATCCACGCCATGGTAAAGCCATCTACACCTCCTGCAGTTACAACTCGGTGGTACGATACGAGTGCAAGTACGGTTATACTCTCGTGGGAGAAAGTACTAGGAGATGCGGCGCAGATAGGAAATGGTCCGGAGCTCAACCCGTGTGCAAAGGTGAGTTTTAGTAGACGGTTCTATCTATCCTACTTCACGAGGTCTGACGGTATTCCAGAAATCAATTGCGGCCATCCAGGAAGGCTGTGGAACGGATGGTTGGAGAACATCGAAGGTGGAACAGGTCTGGGAGCCTCGATCATATTCCGGTGCCACGAAGGGATGTTGCTGGAGGGAAACTCGTCGACGGTGTGTCAGATAGACGGCAAATGGAGGTATCCGCTACCAAAATGTTACGGTAAAATCAGCGAAACTTATAATTATTTCAGTGGGAGCGAATGTATCGTGTTTCAGCTCCTTGCGTGGTGCCTCACGTGACGAAAGGTCGAGTTATCCTGTTGTCGAGGAACGATACTGCCCCCACATCGACTGTAGTGACTCATGGTGAAATGTTGACCGTCGACTGCGATCCGAAGTTCGAGTTCCAGTGGACCCACGAGAAAGTAACCTGCAATAACGGCACTTGGACGCAGATGCCCAAGTGCGAACCGGCAAAGTGATAATCCCGAACCTCTCGACTCGCACAGTACTGATTCCGTTGTTTCTCGCAGATGTCAAAGTCTGCCGAAGGCGCCGAGACATGGAATGGTATCCGCCCCGGAAATGAAACACGGCATGAAGGCTAAGTTTAGGTGCAAGGATGGTTACGTGTTGAAAGGTAACCCATTCGTTGAGTGCTCATTCGGAAATTGGACTGGTATGGTACCTAAGTGCGACGAGGTGTTCTGTCCTTATCCCGGATTAGTGGAGAATGGAAAAATCCTTCTGGTCGGCAACATGGGGCTTTACGATTACCGTCCGTATGTAAAAAAGGTGGCCAATAATAAGCAGATTATGTACGATTGTGAGAAGGGGTACGTGCTGGCTGAGGGACCACCAGGTGCGACCTGTGTGGGGGGTAGGTGGAGCCCATCTGAACTCCCGAAGTGTTTGCCAGGGGAGCATCCTAGGTTCCGGTTCAACCGCAGAAGGAGGTCGGTCAAGGACGAGGAAAAGGGTAGCGGTTTCTTAGACGTTTATAGGAAAAGTGATGGGCGGTATTATCTGAGAAGATTGAGGAGAGACGTATCTGAAGACGGTACGATTTTTTAAATATTATTTTCCGAGTAACGCCTGTAACGAAGTATACGCTTTCTATTTTATGAATTAAATTAGCCGAATTGATTAAACCCACAATAAAAATCTTCCAGAGAAATCTTGCCCGAATCCTTTGGGATTCCGAGCTCTCGTAGTGGGTGAATCGGGTTATCGCAAGCACAATCTGGGACGCTTCTCTGAAGGCCAGCTGATCGAGTTCGTGTGCAAACCTGGTTACATCCTTCTAGGGCCTTCTAAGGCGATCTGTAGGAACGGTAGATGGTTACCCTTTGACAGGCCGAGGTGCGTTTTCGTAGACCATCGAAACCGCAGAATTTTTCCTCCAAGAGACAAGCGCTTCAGTGAATTAGACAGCATCCTGCGCCACCACGCTTACCTCAATGATTCCGACAAGCCGCGCAGTCGCAAACCCAGACTCGTTGATGTCTACATCTTGGAACAACTTCGGAATGCTCTCGGGTACCACCAAAGGACCAAGAGAGGGCTAAAAGGAGGAGGAGGTAGCAGGGCTGTCGGAGGACTTAGTCACAGAGGGTCGAGTTCCCAACATTCAGTGAGGTAACACGAACGGTGCCCTTATTCTCAGTGAAACTCTTGGAACGTGTTGGTTCGCAGGAGAGGTAACAAAGGCAGGAACCAACTGGAAGACATTCCTGATCCAGACAATGATATCACACCAACGAAGAAGCCGAAAGCTAAACATAGAAATGGTACAGGTGGAGCGTGCGATGCTCTTCAGAATGAACCCTTTGTCAACATAGAGTTCGTCAAGCACGGGAGAGATCAGAACGTATCTTTTGGATCTGGGACGATAGTAAAATTAGCGTGCGGCAAAGGGTACGGGCTCAACATGGCAGAGAACAAGACGGCCAAGTGTGTCAGGGGAAAATGGAGGCCCAACAAGCCGGAGTGTTTTATCTGTGAGTATTCTACTGTTAATAAATGGAGATTCTCTGCTTGAGCTCAGATATAGGACGTGTCGTTACACTAGTAAAGTATGATTCAGGATGAATTCTTGACTGACTGAATAAAGTCGACCTAATCACCTAAGCACTTGCTTTTTAGTGCCCTGTTTTGTTCCTGAAACGCCATTCGGAATTTACAAACTGGTAGAGGCGGACAATACTAGCAAAATAGACACCATGCAACCACTGAACTCCACTATGGAGGTTTCGAACGGTTTGGTGGTGGAATTCAGTTGCGAACCAGGTTATAGCGTGCAAGGCTCGTCGAACATGAGATGCTGGCACGGTGATTGGGCGGTTACTGCTTTCCCTGAATGTTCTCCGGGTACCTAACGGTCGTAATTTGTCTCCAGTTTTTCTAAACTTACTGTTATGTAGCACCTTGTCAACTGCCAAAAATAACTCACGGGCAGTACACTTCGGGATATCGCGCGGGTCTAACCATCGCTAACGGATCCTCAGTGACATTCCAATGCGACCAAGATTACATACCATCTACCGTTCAGCCGATAGAGTGCCTACTGGGTGATCTGTTTCCGAAACACCCTGCCTGCAGGAGAGAGGATGGTGAAGAGCCACCCGAAACTCACTACTTGGGTGGCAAGGACATCGTCAAAGGTGGCGACATCACCGTGATCGAGTACGGTACCTCTACGGGCAAACCTTGCGGACCTCCCGCGAAGTGAGCGACATCAAATAGCAAATAATTGTTTGCTTAAGCTTTCCTTGATTGCAGGGTGCGTGGTTCTTTGATCTACAGAAACGGTGAGCCTCTGGTGGATGACGAAAACAATTTCCCCGACGGTAGCGAAGTGACCTTCAATTGCATCGAAAGCATAATGGGTGAGAAAACCACATGGAAGATAGTCTGCGAAGACGGTAGCTGGATCGGGAGATCTTTGAACTGCGGTAACCGCTCGAAGATTACATTGTAGCGATATCCGCGTCATTTTTCTCACCATGCCGCAGATATCGAAGACTTGATGGCTGCCCAGATGGTGAGCAGTAACAGTACCTGCGTGTTTCGCAACCAAGAACCGAACGTGGTGTCATTCTACAACGACCAGAAGATCAAGGAGGAAGTGGTGGAGTTTCCTGCGGGAGCCGTACTGGTCAGCAGGTGCGTGGACATTGGGAAATACGCTATGGTAGGACCCAACAAGCGAAGGTGTATGGGAGGTGACTGGGACGGACCTAAACCGGCTTGTTTCGGATTGAACCAAGAGAACGATTATTCCATGGAGAAGCCTCCGACGATATTGTTCAGGCACCAACTCGGTCCGATAGCTCAGTCCAATGACGGCAAGCTGATAGTGTACCCGGGCACCATATTGCATATGGAGTGTCTGTGGATCAGGAGATTCGGAGTACCGAAGTGGACAGTAAGTCACGACTATAGGAAGTATCCCGAGGGATGGACTACAGATCCTGGAAGGGATTCACAGTTGGAGTACAGATTATCGATTTTCCACGCATCTAAGGACGATTCCGGATTGTTTACGTGCGTGACCCCGGCGAGGTACACACATTCCGTGGAAATCATTGTCAAAGGTTAGTTTAATTTTTAATTTATTGACATGACTTAAAAAAAGTTAAGTCTAGTTTTGGTTAGTTAAGGAAACGATTTTGACGTGACATAGCGCCATATACGATTTTTACATTACTCTACGGATTTACTATCTTAGCGGTGCACTGTCCCGCTATACCCCAGAGACGTGGCCTGACAGCGAGCACCCAGAGCACTAAAATGAACACCCGCATCAAATTCTACTGCGTTAACGGGAACGCCCTCATAGGCGCGCCCGAGATCGTATGTCTACCTTCGGGGAACTGGAGCGCCCCCTTTCCCGTATGCGAGAGTAAGTCGGAGAAAATGTTTTATTTTGACCCTGTTAAAAACACGCGTTCCCATATTTTTCCGCAGGCATTGAATGTGGCGAGGTAGGTGCAGAGCTAGGGCCGCACCTTAAAGTACTGGTAGTGTCAAGGGAAGTGGGGGGGCGAGCGGTATTTACCTGCGACAGCGGATATGGACTGCGGGGACCTGCCGAAACCGTGTGCCAACACACGGGAGATTGGGCGTCGCCCTTTCCCACGTGCGAAGGTGAATATTATTACTTTTTACAAAACTTCTGGATTCCTCCTGCGTCGGTTTTTGCTGAGTCGAAATTGCTGACGTTTCGTCAATCATCCTGTTGGCTTCTTCAGAGCTTAACTGAAGCTGGCTCGCATTTTACTCTGTACCTGCTTATATATTTTATGAGAGACCTGAGTTGCGATTGTTAGGTTGTTTATAGATTTCTATAGACTCTCGGATTTTTCGTTGGCAGAAAACATGGTTACATGCCAGCATTTTAGTTTCATCGAATAAAATTTTATGTCCGGTTTCGCGATTGTGTTCGGCAACAGCTTAGTTGCCTTAGTCGTAAGGTTCTTTCGTGTTTTTTGAGCCTAGTTGATATTTTTCGTCCGGTTTCTCCAATGTATTCTTTGCCGCATATGCCTGGAATGCTGTAAACTCCTGGCACCTCAAATGGAATTTTATCTTTGACGGACCTAAGATGTTGAGAGATTTTTTTTTGGACAAGTAGTTTTGACGTTATACTTCTTTAGAACTTTTGATATGTGGTCATTGATTTGTTGAATGTAAGAAAGGGCCACAGTGACAAGTGTACGATTGCTTTCGGCCTCATCAAGGGTGTGATGTGTGTATTTTTTGATCGAACGCTTAATACCTTTAATATGGAAATTATTAGAGAGAAGAGCAGAGGTAAGGTGTTTTAATTCTGGGTTCAATGACTCAGGCTGAGATAGTTTTGCGGCTCTGTAAACCAGAGAGTTGATAGCCGATGATTTTTGGGCCGGATTGTGATGTGACAATGCATTCCGGTGTCGGTCTGTGTTTGTAGGTTTTCTGTAAACACAATGACCCTGTTAGGTCTGATTTCCTATTTATAAGAATATCTAAGAATGGGAGGTTATTAGTTTCTATTTCAATGGTAAAATGTATGTTAGGGTGTATAGAGTTTAAATGTCCTTGAAAATCTACTAGGATTTCTTGAACATGAGGCCAAATAATAACAGTATCATCGACGTTGCGTTTCCATAATCTTGGTTTTCGATGGAAGGCGTCGAGAGTCGTAAAACTATCTGAACTCGAGTCACTGAACCCAGAATTAAAACACCTTAACTCTGCTCTTCTCTCTAAAAATTTCCACATTAAAGATATTAAGCGTTCCATCAAGAAATAAACTTCACCACAACCTTCCAATAGCAATAAGGCCGAAAGCAATCCTACACTTACCCCCGTGGTCCTTCCTTACATTCAAAATATCACTGATCACATATCAAAAGTTTTAAAAAAGTATAACGTCAAAACCAAATTTACCACTTTCCTCGCCACCATCTCTCAACATCTTCGGTCCGTCAAAGATAAAATTCCATTTGAAATGCCAGGAGTTTATAGTATTCCATGCATATGCGGCAAAGAATACATTGCAGAAACCGGACGAAAAATATCAACTAGGCTCAAAGAACACGAAAGAGCCTTACGACTAAGGCAACTAAGCTGTTGCCGAACACAATCGAGAAACCGGACATAAAATTTTATTCGATAAAACTAAAATTCTTGCATGGAATCAATTCTTCTATCAACGAAAAATCGGGGAGACTATCTATAAATAACCTATAAATCTATAACCTAATAATCTATAAATAACCTAACAATCTTAATAGCGACTCAGGTCTATACCTGTCTCAATATGGCAATCAGTCATCCGAGACGGTGGTTATGCGCCTCGTTTAGCACCGCCCCCATCAAACAATATGTAAGCAGGTACGGGGCAAAATGAGAGCCAGTTTTAGTCAAGCTCTGAAGAAGCCAACAGGATGATTGGCGAAGCAAGTTCGACTCGGCAAAAACCGACGCAGGAGGAATCCAGAAGTTCTGTAAAAAGTATTACAGTAGACTGTGAAAGTTTCTTTGAAAAAGTGAATATTATTGATTTTTCTAACGACATGAAAATTTGCGATGCCATTATTTGTCCAGTAGCTCTTAGGTTGATTCGAGAGTGAACTAAAGAATGGTAATGACGTGATAGAAAAATGATTGATTGTTATTTCTTTCGAAAAATAGATGAAATCGATTCTTTTCGAAAGTATATGCGCTCCGCACTAAATTCGAGATCTCGGTAACGGTAGGTTCTAGAGGACCGCCGCCGTTGGTGCAGAACGAATCAGGGTAAAAAAAATTTTTTTTTGCCTGTCCGTTCTACGTTTTTCGACGATAGCTTCCGAACTGTTTAAGCTAGACGCTTCAACCTTTTCTCCTTTTCAACAGCCCGTGGGGTGCATAAGATATGTAAAAAGCGCCTTGGTTAAATTTCAGCGTCAGTCTTTTTCTTTCGATTTTCGACTCTTTTTGGACATTGCTATGAAACACGAAAAGTGTCCTAAATTTAAAGCTATCGACTTCAAATTTGGGCCGCAAATAGCGTTTGGTCCCCTAACGGAACCTATTGAAATTGGGGAGCTTGGGGCTCGAGAAGTATTTAAAAAAAATAAAAAATCGTGTTTACAGGGATCTAAGAAAAAAAAAACGTTTCTCAAGAAGCAGTTAAAAAGTGATCATTCTTTGTAATTTTCAAAAATATACAGGGTGTGTCCGGTATTCGCAAAAAAAAACAAAAATTGGGTTCTTCTTTTAATTGGTGATAACTAGAAGGCTGTGATTCAGTAGGCAATTTGTTTTATACGACAGTATAGGCCGTACAGACAGCTAAAACTTTTGCATTTAAGGTATTCATCTATTGTACAGGGTGTTCCGGATATTCCGTGCTATATAGGAAATGTAGTAAGTGACCTAAATTTGCAGCTATAACTTCTAATTTGGCAGAATAGTAAAAGTAAAGTAAGTAAAAATAGTAAACAGTGAAAATCGGACGTAATCAAATATTCTTTTTTGGTTATTTTGGCTTCCAGAAAAACGTGGTTTCCTTCAAACTATTCAATCGATCGGCAAAATTTTGAAATTCTGAAACTTTTATTTCAAGCATTTTTCCGGTTCTATACAGGGTTTTTCAATTATAGACAAAAATCTAAAAGACCCTGAAAATTGTCTTTTTCTAGAGTAAATCAAAATTCGTAAGAAAATATGGCGAACTAGTTCAGTATTATAGGCCGCTGTTCGAAGATATTTGAACAAATTCATATGAAAATCATTTTTCCTCAGGTTCAGTCTGGACGCGATGAGTTCATTGACTATTACGGCGTAAAAAATATTTTTCGAATACCTTTTACTCTATTGGAAAAATTCTTGGAGCAGGAAACGCGGAAGACCCAGGACTACAACTTATATTTCTGAAATTTTTTCAATTATGTACAGGGTGTGTCGATTATGGACAAAATATCAAAAAGATTCAACAGTATCGTGAGCTGTATTGAGAGATTTTCAGGTTTTGTCTATCATACAGGGTGTGCGATATACTTCGAAAAATATAATTCAAAATAGCAATTAGTTGCACATTTTTTTTATATTTATTAAAATTTGTCCGGTGCATGCACAATAAAATTATATCGATTTTTTGAAATAAAAAGCTGCTTCACGTTAAGCGCTGCAAACTCGTCCCGCTCATCGATTTTTCGAAAGCAATCTTATTTTTCTCTTGAGCATTTTCTTAATGTTTAATTCCTTTATTTATCGATATATTCGTAAAGAAATTAATTATATATTATTATTTGGAGATCATTATTATTTTCTTTAACTTTTTGTATAAAATAAAAATCTTAATAATCTACAAATTGATCTATTTAGAGATTCCAAACATTTAAGCTTTTCTAACGTTTCAAAAAAATGTATTGCCCGGAAAACAGACGTATTTTTCAGAAATATAATTTAAAAAAAAATTTGAAATAGACATGTCATTTATCCATTTAACTATTAGTTTGTATTTCTTGAAAAAGGAAAAAAAAATAATTTTTTGTCACAACAATAAAATTTGCCTCACTGCATTATCGGAACTCTTTTAGTTTAATGGATGGAGTTCATTAAGTTCGTTTACGAGAAGTGCTTAAAATTTGAAATTGATAGATCTTTGTCGTAAAGAAATTATTGAAACTGGATTTTAAAATAATAAATTTTGTCGCCAGAGGTGCACTGTGACGAGCCCAAGCCTCCGGAAAATGGCTATATCCAGGGCAATGGTCCGTATAAGGCAGGTGACGTGGTGCAGTTCAATTGTAACCCCGACTACATGATGGAAGGCCAACCAATCATAGCTTGTCAGGAGAACTCCAGGTGGTCGGGAAAGTTGCCCAAATGTAAGTGGGTGCACAAAATTAAAACACTCGAAAGACTTCTTTTAAAATAATGAATAACAACCAAAACATTTTGACTACGATTCAGATGTTTCCAAAAAAAAATAAAAATGTATGAAAAATCATATTTATAGATATTATAAATTACTATAAAATTTTAAGCAACTCTCTGTCTCGGTTTCCTCAAGGTGTCCAGGCTTGTTCGTATCCTGGCACTACCATCAGCGGTCGCATGTCGTCCGTCAAATTTTACTACAAGATCGGCGAGAACATAACCTTCACGTGCGAGGAGGGTCTAGCGCTCAAGGGAGCAGCTATGTTGAGGTGCCTGAAGAATGGGAAATGGTCGAACGCCATACCCACGTGCGTTTCTCCCGACGCCATTCGAAAACGGGAGGTTTCCGAGAACTAGTTTCGTTATTTCTATGTTAACTGGTCATGTACAGTGTGTTGCCTGGGCTTTAGGTACTTAGCTACGCGCTTAAAATATCTTTGACGATATATTATGCTTCAGCTACTGGCTGATATAAGGCCGCTGTAAATACTTTACCAATCAATACATTTGGGGAAAAATAAAAGTTCAACCCGTCGATAATCAATGCGCAGCTTGGTTACTTGAATGGGGAATTTCTCTCTAGCCCTAATCCCATCAATCTTCTATTTTGTTGAATGATTTTGAAAACATAAGGTGAATTACAACCATTCGCATGAAACTAAATAAAGTAAAATTGTAGAAACATGAATATATTAAAGAAAAAAATGACTCGTAAATTTTATTATAAAAAGATATTTATTTTTTTGTTGGATCGAACCTATAGCTATAAGGTAATACAGTGGCCCTACTGTGGTAAAAATTGAAGCGCCACCCCCCAACTGACTGAGTTGTTTTCATTTTTGTTATGAATATCTCCATATAGTACTCACAAACTTGTATAATTTGTGCTTTCAATACTTTGTTCTTTCACGAAATAACAGCAAATTTGGCAAATATGAGGACCTAATAGGATATTAGAGAAAAAGAGATGCGTATATATTTGACATTTAACGAACTGGAAAATAGACTCACACAAATATTTTAGGTACACTTAAATAGCCACGAAGGATGTTTGGGTAATATGTTTTAGTGTAGAAGAATTACAGGAAATACAAGAAAGCAAGTTTAATTTTAACTACAAAAAGCATAGCTACTGTCAACTACTGTCTATAGGAGGTGCTTTTTGAATATATTTTCATTTAGATGTTTTATGTGCGATATCTAGCATCTTAAAGTTATTTCAATGGAGGTTAAACGTATGAGTTTATGAAGACAAACGCTTTACGCCGACTTACAAAAAAATACTTTACATAAAAAAATACATATAGAAATTGCATCGTACTACAGCGCTTGAAGAATCAAAACGCTAAATTAATGATAGAATTATACTGATGTCACGTGGGTGTTGCAATTCTGCACTGATTTTCCAGACCTTAACTCCTTTTTTGCTACAAAATTTCATAGGATTTTGAGATATTTTGACAAAATATTGCCGTAAAAATGCCGCATCCGAACATTTACAATGTGTCAGCGGCCATGTTGCTTGTTGAAAAGGTCTTATGAGTCCTAGGTCAGAAATTGTCATTAGAGCTGCCATTTCGTAAAAACGAAATTTTAAATCTCGCGCATGCACGCTTTGAATGGACAGAACTCTCAAAAATGCACGAAAACCTTATGTTGTTTATTGGGTCAACCTGAAGTCATCGAAAACTAGGATTATTTTTTTATGCCAAAAAAATCGAGAGATTTCTTTAAAAATATGTCAACGAATTCTTATTCAGGACTACCTAAATCCTAACTATACTAATTTTTATGAAGCTTGTATACAGGGTGCTCGAAATATCGAAGCGTTTAAACATTACACCTGTCGAATGTTTGTTTTTCAATTTTGATAAAAAAAAATTTGTTGAATAAATTTTATTGATCTAATAATGAATATAACAGAAATGCCGTCGGCATACCTTTTTAAAAGCAAATTTGGCACGAAGAAGCAAATATGATGCGACTGTCAAATCGAGTCGCAATTTATATTTTAATTTTGTTGAACTTATTATGGTTAATTTATGGATGTGAGACAAGATGGTATCAGTGCGTCTAGTTGGTGATCGCGCGCGATGTTTTCGTGAAGCTGCGGCAGAGTTTAATAGAAGATATCGTAGCAGAAATATTAATTACAGTAGGTACAGTTGCGAATATCAATAGATATTCTGATCAGAACGGGACTGTCGATAAGCTTGGCAACCACCATCGCAATCGTGTCGTTCCTCTAAGTCCAATAGTTCTTGATTATTGATTTGATGATTGCAGGATATGTACTTGGAAAATCACAGGATCCTGAACAATATTTTGTACACTGATGAACAACATTTACCACAAACGATATGGCTTCATCTCAGAATATTAGAATACCGAATGAAGAAAATCCGTATTGGATGCAAGACGCTATTGTACTAAGGTGAACGTCTGGCGTGGAATTTTAACCGAAAAAATAATTGCACCATAATTTTTTAACGAGAATTCGAAATGGAACGCCTTTCTCCGATTTTAAGAAAATGAAATAAGTCGTGAAATTCATATGCACCTGTCCTTTACTCGGCTGGTGTAAGGAATTGGTTAAACCAAAATTTTCCTAATGGTTGGTTTGGACGAAATAGTTATTTAATAGAATGGTAGCTAGATTGTGGAGGTCATTAAAATTTAAAGTTTGCAGTAAGTATATTTGCATTCGAATTAAAGACGCGTGTTGTAGCATCACCAGACAAGAGCTAAGAAAAGTGCATAGAGAAGGGTAGTGACATAATTGAAATAACTAATATTTACATTTACATTTGTTTTAAAGAATTTCGTTTTTCCTGTATATGCTGTCGCATATTCCAACAATCGCCGAAATTACTTTTTTCTTAATTTAATTGAAGAATATGTTACAATGAATGCCAAAAAGTACTGAGTGTCTGAAATCGTTTCGTCTTTTCAGTAGGCCTATCAACTTCATATTAACTAAATATGGCCCTTGTTTTTTTTTTCATATATTAATTAGAATGCTTTCTACATTCCAAAAACCTAAAATGTATGTATTTATGTTTAAATATAAATTAAAATTATTTTTATTACCTACTTAAATTAATTAATTCACATAATATATCAGTATCACTATCTTTATCATCGCCTGTTCTAATTATTATTTGTTCTATATTATTTACAATATGGATATACTATTGTTCTGCTTTTTCTATATGTTTAACAGAATTTGCCCAACTTTGTGGAGGGATGTTAAAAACTTCGGTTTCTATAACTTTGAGGACATTGGAGTTAACACGGGGAAAAACATTGTTACGACGAATGGCAGATTTCAGTTGGTGCCAAACATGTTCAATGGGATTAAATATACAGTGGTAAGGTGGAAGCCTGAAAACTGTAGGCCCCAGATTTTTTGCATAATTATCACAGACGTATTCCTTTTGTAGGTTCAAGCTTTGTAGAACCTCAATTAATTGCTTTTTGGTATAATCTACGTGAAAATAAATGTCGTTATTATACATGTAGTTTTGGATTGTTGCTTTTGTGTCACATGAGGAAGGGGTTTTAGTCAACTGTCTACTGTGATAACTTACATCGTCCATTACAATGACGCTATTAGGAGGAATGTTTGGAACTAGTTTGTTTTTAAACCAACTTTCAAATAAATCAGACCTGGTGACTTCATGGTAATCCAGAGAAGAATATTTAATATATTTTGCAGACAGAGAAAGTCCATTTGGAATCCAACCATCTTTAGAGCCAGCATGCAAAATAGTTATTCCTTTACCTCTATTTGATGGCACGTTTGTTTTACACTTATCAGTTGAGTCAACCCAACCCTTTTCTGGGTATCGATAGTGTCGAAGCAGCAAGTAAATAATTGGCCTTTGATGTTCTCTGTAAATCCTATTTTTTTCTAGATATTCCAGTCGCCATTTCCGAATTCTAAAAGATTCCATTAAAACTTGCCTTTTGTCAATTTTTTTAAATCTAAAACCCATTGTGTTGAACACACTTCCATAAGGTAGTTCTGCCATATTTAACACCGGTTTCATCTTTTTCAAACCTCCTAATTAAGATATCTAATGTAGGCATGCTTTGTTCCTCGTATAACTGGTAAATTTTACTCCGTCTTATATCTTGATCACTTTCATATACACTCGAGAAAATGTCAGCATCGTTTCTTTTTTTCCTCGCTGAAATGGGATTATTCACAATTTTCCATACCGTTGATGTTGGAATTTTCGTCAATGTGGCCGTTTCTTCTAAATATGCTTGCTTGCTGGTACCATGTTCAATGAGAGACAAATAGACATTGTTTATAACTTCCTTAGTCTCAATAGAATAGTGTTTTCTACATTTGGGCGGGAGCATCTCCTGAGATACACTAGACTCGCACATATTTTGCATAATTCACACACGATTCAACACACGCTGTATTACAAACGAAATCAGAATGATTACTAATAAACTTAAACTAAGTAGTATACCAAAGCAAAGAATATTAAACACAGGTAGGTATAAAATTATTTTCAGTTACGGATCACAATTTTAGCTGAATTTAAATTCCGAAACTTTAGGTAAATAATAATCTTCGCTGACAATCTACTTTTTAAAAAATCTCTAGTGGCCCTTCTCGATATTTGGCATGAATAAATTGTCCCAGTTGCCCGTGCAAGCAACATAAGCTTTTAGTGCGTTTTTGAGAGATCTATTCAACAAAATTTTTGTTATCAAAATCGAACCATAAACAAAGATTTTACAAGCGGAGAGCAAATGATATTTCAAACACCCTGTATTGAAACATGCTAAGAAACAATTCGTTATCAATTTAGTCCTTAAAAACGTGCATTTTTAACACAAATAAACAAATATTTTAGAAGGGTGTACAGTTCTTAAATGGGACAGACTGTATATAAAATCATTCTCGCTCAGTATTACTTCTTACTTTATAGTATCAGGACTCGCAGGTGGCTTGGCAGATGCTACAAGGAATGCTAAATATCGAGGAATATTTAACCTATACTGCCTTCTGTAAACGAGTGTCCACTAAATCCGAATTATTGGATTAGGAATCTGTAATTTTAATATTTGGTAGGTAACCAAACCTACCTACTGATGCCAAACTAGGCATGCCCAATTATTCTTGAAAAAAAGGAGCGTCCGCCTGAACAGACTTAACTGACCGGAACATATACACGTTCAGGCGATTGGTCTTCGGGCGGACTGTTCAGTTCGAACTGACAGGAATGTCGGATCGTGTGCCGCCAGCTTTACAATTCGGTATTTTAATAGTATATTATGCAACAAGTTGACTCACGAGTTTACTTGTCACGAGCGGAGCGAGTGTTTAGTAAACGAGTGAGTTTACCGAACGTGTTGCATACTATACTTTTTCTACGGCCGTTAGTTTTTGGGTACATTTTTGCAAAACAACACCAATACATTCACTGACACGACCGTCAGAATTGACAAACGTCAAAATTCAAGCCGTGGGAAATATCTCCGAAAACATCCGATCGCTCCCAAATCCGTGCTGTAAAATCCCGGAAATGTCCGAAGTGGCTCGGATTCGTAGGAAACGAAACTGACATGTTAAGCGACGCTTCCTGCATGCTCGGTGCTTAATTAGGTATTTTACAGACGGGAGTAGAAAAATTTAGTTGTTGGCAGGATTATTTGATTTATTTTTTGCTCAATAAAAAATACTTATGGAGGACAAAAATCTCACCTTTGCGGGGTACAAATTTTAATTTCAAGAAAAGTCTGCATTTTTGGGATAGGTTTAATAACTTAATTTACCAGAAAATTTAAAAATAATTATGGTTTTCCTTAAGAAAAACACTCTTGTGTATATAGAATCTAAAAGTGGTGGATAAAATTCAGTTAGGCAGCTCTGATTCGGCTCGAAAATATCTATGGAAAAAAGTGTCTATGGAATTTGCCCCACTTTTAAAAAAGCCCCGCAGGTTAAGGACGAGTTGATATATCATGTGGTTTACGCGAAAAAAACTTGACTTGAAATTTGAGCTTTAGATTTTTCTTGTCTCCCTAAGAAGTACCCGAAACTCCCCAAAAACCATTTTCAAAATATTCGAGGTCGCGCTCGCGCGTTGTCGTTCAGTCGCCGGCGTAAAAAAACAAAAGTATACGCGACGTCGCACAAACACAATAAACGCGGCAGCACGCACGTGAGCCCTCCTATCGCAACAACAAACAACGCATCGTGGGTGTCTCGCGTTTCAGGTTCTATAGTCTAGCGTCTAGCGTGCGCCCGCGACCGTCGATTGACTTTTGTTTGTGCGCGATCGGCTCAAATGTCAACCGGCAGAGCCCACTTGGGTCTTCTTGTTTCGATATCGAAGCCGACGTCTATCCGCTTCGGGTGAAGACTGCGTGTCGCATATCGCGAGGTACTACGCGTACTCTTTTCGGCTGTTAAAATGTGTCAAAATGGTTGACGCTGAACGCGAACGGGTCGAGGAGGGAAACTGCGAAGGCGACCTTGTCGAGTTGCCTCGGAAACCGTTTATAAGGGTGAGTTTGGTGGTCGATGACGGTGTACTTTGCGTTAAACGTAAGACGTAGCGGCTGCGGTTAAGACCGGATGGGGCTTGCGTAACCGACGAGATCGAGAGAGGTGAAAGTGTGCTGCTGCAGGGTAAACTGATGCCTGGAATGTAGACTTTGCGGCCGGTATCGCTGCGATACCCGATCGTTTTGCCGTAAAAAATCAAACCGCGGAACCCGGCGAGGTTGATAGGGATCATATGTATTGGTACTGACTCTCCTTCCACTCTCCGAAAAAATTAGTGGTTATTTTGTTATTTATTTTGTTTTAACTTGATGAATATATTTTTTGCATTTCCTTTCAATTTTCGTTGTTTATAAAATTTTACTTAAATTTTATATCAATATTTGAAGCATGTTTCTTTTTTGTTTTAGCGTATTCCTTGTTATTAGGTGACATTTTTATTTATTTTTTTTATTTTTCGGTTTTTTATCTTTTATCGTTTTTAGTGTTAATTGTTTTTTTGTGTTTATTATTTAGCTTAAGTTTTATTCATAATGTTTTACGTTTTAACGTTTCTTTTGGTATATTTAGGTTTATAATAGTTTTTTTCTTAATTTTTGTTATTGGTTTTTGGAAAAATTGCATTTTTCTTTTTGGAGTTTATTATTTTTTTTAATTGCCGTTTACGGGTTTTGCATTTTGTTCGTCATTTAGTTTTCCTTTCATATTTTTCGCGACGACTTACTTTTTCCCACATTTTTGTATTTTTTCCCCAAAAACGCAACCATTTAGTTTACTTCGGAACTGTAATATTGTTTGCAATTTATGCGATTTTGGATTTTAATTCTTCCTAATTCTGCTTAGTTTTCATTCGTTTGATGTTTTTACGTTTTGGTTTTTCTTTTCACAACTTGATTTGAATCCTTGAAATCTTGTACAAATCTACGCGCTAGCTACACATATCCATTTGGTTGTTTCTTAGTTTTCTTTTCACATTTTTTGCAGTAGTGGATTTATTCGTATTGTCTTCACTTTTTAGACCTATTTTTTTGTCAAAGACGTATTGCATTACTTCGGCAACGTAATTTTGTTTCTAATTGATCCGGGTTCTTGTGGTTTTCATTGGTTTTTGTGACTTTTTTTTAATCCTTGACATTTTTTGGATAAATGCACGTGCAACTACTCAGATCCATTTAGATCTTTATCTAGTCAGAAAACGCGCAAAAACAATTTTGTCTTAATACTATAAGCCATCTTCAGAGCTTTTAGGTAAGGACGTCGCATTAAAATCCCATCACCAAACGTACGAGACGATCCTTGTCTATTTTTAACAACAATGGCCTGTAACGAAGTGCCAGATTATCGGATAACGTTCAAGAAAAACTCACTGTTTGCTCTCCGCAAATATTTGCCTCTCGTCGAGTTTGTTTGCTTTTCAACTGGGTTAGACTTGTTTATTGCCCTACTTCATTTAACTACACACGTTTGTTTAAACAATGATGAAGTTGTTGTTGCCGCTACGCTGATGGCTGACGTGTAGCCCAAGGAATCCCTATAGATTTATCTTCGAGTAGTAATACACGCGATGGAAAAAAACCGTTTCAGGGGTCCCGTTTTTAAGGGTACGGGGATACAATAGGTATAATTCGGTTATGGTCGAATGCAAAAGCGGATAAATTATCGATTATATAAGGCAGAAAAGAAAGGAAACCGCCACACAATACGAGTGACCTTGTGATCGGAAACTAAATCCGAACTTGTCGGTCTTCGGGCTAGGCTATACCTTATACCACGAGGGATTAGAAGAGCTTAAAGGAACAGAATTATATTAAAGGTAAATTTGTAGTGAGGTATAGGCGACGGACTTTAATGAGACGGTCGAATATTTGTGGCACAGGAGACGTTATAATTTGAATGAAACTACGTACGTAAAAAATGTTGTTCTATTCAAAAAATAAAAGCGGAAAATTTGAGAAAATTGTGGTGCTGATAATAGTAGTGATACGACTAAAAAATTTTATCTAAATAAAGTGGTAACCAAGTCTCAGTTAATAAAATTAAAGTTGTTTGACCTCCCCAAAAAAGAACCGCAACATTCGGCAAATCAGCCAGCTGACAATTTTTCTCCATTATCTAATTTTTACAAACGTTAATATTTGCCTACTGACTAGTTACGCCCTACTAACCGTACCCAAGAATTTTTGTACCATATTATTTGCTCTTATATATCCCTACAGCCTAGGCAATTCGGTCAGCTCTCATTAGTAAAATCTTTTTTCTACTCCCGCCTGTAAAATACCTAATTACACACCCATCTAGCGTGCGGGAAGCGTCACTTTACCACGTCAGTTTCATTGTCTATGAATGCGAGCCACTTCGGACATTTCCAGGATTTTACCACACGGATTTGGGAGCAATCGGATGTATTCGGAGTATGTTTTCGTGTTGTTTTGCGAAAATGTATCCAAAAACTAACGGTCGTAGAAAAAGTATAGTAAGCAACACGTTCGGTAAACTTTTTAACTCACTCGCTTATTAAAAACTCGCTCCGCTCGTGTCATATAAACTCGTGGGTCAAATGCCGTTTACCGTACTTGTTGCATATTATACTATTTTCTACTCCCGTCTGTAAAATGCCTAATTACTCACCTATGTAGAGTGCGGGAAGCGCCACTTTACCACTTCAGTTTCGTTTCCCACGGATCCGAGCCACTTCGGCCATTTCCGGGATTTTACCGCACAGGTTTGGGAGCAAACGGATGTTTTCGAAGTTATTTCCCACGGCTTGAATTTTGACGTTTGTCAATTCTGACAGTCATCTCAGTGAATGTATTCGTGTTGTTTTGCAAAAATGTACCCAAAAACTAGCGGTCGTAGAAAAAGGATAGTATGCAACACGTTCGGTAAACTTTTTAAGTCACTCCGCGGCGCTCCGCTCGTGTCAAATACCTTCCGCGATTGTGGTTATCAAGAAATGGGTTTTCCTCACTTCTTCTCCTTTATTATACAAGGCTAATCTTGTTGCTTTTGCAATGGTTATAAAAAACCCTTTTTGGTTCGTTATAATCTCAATTTGTGAAAATATTGGTTCAAAATTTATCTTTAAATTAATATCTGCTAGTGTAGTGTTTGCAATATAATTTTTTTCTTGGAGGATTTTGTGTATGTCTACGCATTTGTGTTAAGTGCCCTCATTCACTCCGGAATCAAGGGCGAACGAGACCTGATGTCGCGTACGGGGATTCCGGGAGTCGATTTTAATAAGAAGAAGTCCCTGGTGTCACCTCTTTTGTGAGTCACGTCGATAGCCAAGGCCGGATGCCTAATGAAAGAATGAGAATGACTTTTGCTGTCATCCCTGCAAAATATATCAAGGAAGCCACCCTGAAGGGTGGCATCCTTCAGGATTTTTTTTCTTGTTTGCTTTTATGTCGACGACTACCAGGATCAGCGTTAAAAAAATAAGAGAGTTTGTAATAAGGCTTAACCTTAGGGCACACCATAAAAAAGAGATTTGCCGATCCGGCAGTAAATATCGGAACTTTTATTTGCAGGCGCTCTCGTGAGCTAGCTGCGTATATTTTCCATTGTAAATTATATAGATCTAGCACACATAATCAAGCTAACTTTTTTTGGTTAGTTACATATAAAACTCACAGTATACAATATAAAAATAACGTTCAAATTCTGATTAATTAATATAAAACGTTCCATCTGCGTCTTCTACCCCAACTTGTGTACGAATACGTACCTAAATTGTAACTCGATTTGTTTAAATTTGGGCCGTCTCAGATGCGCCACTGACACAGTATAAATGAAGCCCCGATTATTCTCTTCTTATAATTTTTTTATGAGGCATGATGAATCATCCCCTAATGTTTGTCCAGCCTAAACGTTGCCGAATACGGCAGGTATGTTGGGACTTTTATCGTGAGCGATACGAATCCGTTACGTCATCGCATTCTCGGTCGATAATCGCGACCGACCGGCCGCGATGAGCGTAGCTGTGGTTTTCATCGTCGAGCTATGCGTCATCCGATAGATAACCTGCTGGAATTTTTATCGACAATTTTCCTGGAATTCCGCTCGCTCAATAATTTATAGATTTCCGACGGCGTACATCTAGAAAAACTTTCAGTTTTATGCCTCTTTTGCTTACATAGCTAATTAAGTGAAAGGAAATGGTGGCGTACATGGCCAAAGAGATAAGGAAAAAGAACAAGAAAAAAAAGTTCTTTGGTGTTATTTCAATAATCACAGTATAGAAGGATAATATCAAATTATGGAAAATACAAAATCAATATCAGCATTTTCAGAGAACTAAGTAATCATTCCTTTCATTTATTTCACGCACCTTTAAGCTGTCTAATGAGCTAAGTCCATATAGCTACTACATATATATAGACTCTGTCTTAGCTAAGAATGTCGGAATTTTTGAAGCGACGTTGTAAAAACATTGAGATTTGACATTTAATATGCGCATGCGAGGGTCTATTGTACAGGTTGAAGTATAGACGTAGGATTTTTATGGCCGTATTTTCTCAAAATAGGCCCCGATCGCGTTAAATGTTTAGAAAGAAAACGGCACGAAGTTCAGGTTTAGTGGTGAAAATTAGAGGCATGCCCGGAAGATTATTTCAATCTCTACAAAAATATCATAGGCGTTCAAGACGCATCAATTCTTACCGTCCTAGAGATACTATATCGTCTAGTATTCATGCCATAAAGCCATTTAGATGATCTCTCTGTGAAATTATTTTTGTTTAATCTTGTGCTTAATTTGAAACAATAGTTTTTTTTTACCTTTTTTACTTAAATTTATTATATGGCAACTAAACACTTTTAGATTTTGAATATCTTTGTTAATGGTTGCGTTTCTTAATTATTCTAGGGTAATTTTATATGGCCTTAACCCATGAATAAATAAATAAACAGATAGGAGGAAGGTTAAGAGACTATTTTTTATTGAAAAAGTGTATGATTATTTTATAAAGTAATTATTATTTGAAAAATAATTGACCTT